ATATTGTAAATTTTCGAATTCGAATTAGAAAGTTCTCTTTCTGTGCACTAAATTATTTTCTTTAAAAATGTTGACATTTTTTGAGGAAGGAGTGGACCGATATTGCCCATCTCCGAACTCGATCTTAGTTTGACAATAATATTACGATGTACCAAGTTTGGATCAATTCGGATACTCCATTCGAGAGTTATCGTACGCAGCAGACAGGCAGATGGACATCGCTAGATCGACTCCAAATGTCCGGATTTGGCCCAAAGAGGCCTAGGGTCTTAAACCATTATTTCGATGAGGCACTTTTTTGCCGTATCAAATGCCATGTGGCTGAGGGTATAAAAACGGAACACAATTTCAAAAATTACATAAAAATGCCTAAACAAAAACATAATTTGAAAATTCAAAAATACGCTCAATATTTTTGTAACCCTTAACTCCCCATTTAAAACCCAGAATATACGATTTAAAAATGAAGCGGGTTCCATGAGCCCAAATGAAAGGTCTCGAGGAATACTTTCCGAATATATGGAATTGCAGACATAAGAATTGAAATACATTTAATTTTTGTCTGGTCTATTACGCCTCTACCTCCCCCCCCCCACCTCTCTCTCTCTCTCTCTCTCTTTCTTATAACCATTTATGAACCGAAGAAAAAATTAACTTGGTTTGTGCCTTTGCTAATTAAGTTTAAATTGTTCTTGACGGACTTGACTTTTAGTGGCTTGCTTTTATCTACACCATTGAGGCACGTAATTGAAATTCAGGTAGATATCTGCTTTCTTGTGCAGTTAACCCAAACTCAATCTTCTGTATTTTTGCCCTTATCTCAACATGTTTTGGGTTTACTTTTAAAAGTTTCAATTTAAGCGAAAAATACTACTTTAATGGCAATTTTCGCTTACATTGGCGCATTAAATAACCCTACAAAACATTTGCCAGTTTGTGCAAAATTTAGAATATTAAACTTCCTTGTGGAAATTTAGACATTCCACAAAAAAGTCTGCTTAGATATACATTGCTGCATAAAATTAATATAAGCCAGTCAGCCTCTGTCATTTAGCTTAGTGAACGTTCGAAATATTGGTTTTGGCTGAACTCTCTTCACTTTTGGTTCAATTCTGTGTCTACTTTTTTTTGGCAGACGTAACGAAATGAAAATGGATATTTTTAATCTTTTAAATATATTTTTGTATGTATTTGCTAAATAAAATACACATACATATGTATGTATTTATCTATGTGTATTTAAAAAATAAAATGAAAGTAAAATTTCGAAAACTTCAAACATTGTTTTTGTGATGTTGTGTCCATGTACATCCTGTGACACACACATTCTAGTATTCCATTTGCACTGTATGTCCAACTACCTGTCGTTCTCGCTGTCTGTCTATCTGATATTTTGTAATGCATCCAAAATATTCAGGCTATCACTTTCAAAATAACTTTTAAATAAATAAGATGCAACGCCAAAATAATAATAAAACAGAAAACGAATCCAGGTTCCATATTATTTAGTTCAAAGGATATCCATGTTAATTTGGAAGTTTGCCACCTTCCCCTCCTCGCCTTTTCTTTTTCTTTATATGTTGTCCAAAACATTTCCCATCAAACTAAACAACACAAAAAACGAAAACTTGGCAATACAAATGTCACAATTGCCAAGCCGATTGTGGTTGTTACGAAAAAAAACAACAACAACAACAAACATATAAATATGCCAAACCACAAAAGGAAAAAGAAGAAGAAAAAGGTATTACCTTTTAATGATGATAGTAAAAATGGTAGCTTCCCTTTCTTTGGCTGGGACTCGCCAATGCCCTCCATTCATGTTTCCACCGCAATAAAGTTTTGTCTTTCATTTGTTCGGGGTCTTCTGTTTTCTCTCTCCTCTTCACTCCAATCTACTTAGAGCAGAGCAGAGATTAAAAACTGACTAGGACAAATATAAGTATATCTGTTGTTTAAATTTATGCCACCGGCAATGAAGTGATTGTGGTTTGTTCCAAATATGTATATTGTCTCCGAATGCATGTCGACATACCTACACACACACACACACTCATGCACATGTATTGTCGCCATATCAGACAAACAAAACTAGGCATCATAATATTCAAATAAAATGCTCCAAATTCCAACATATCACTTTACCTAGATTAGGCCAGTTTTAATATAGAGGAGGGAGAGAGGTGGTAATTGTCAGTGAAAGGGGGAGGAAAAATGAGAGAGACTAAACATATGGTTCAAACAATTATTTTCGAATAACAATTTCGCATATCGTTATGCACTCTTATGGGTCAACATTTGCAGAAATTTCTGTTCTAATTTTAAAATAATTCATGAAAAATTAAGAAACCAGAATCTGGAACCTATGTTTTTTTTTTTTTTTTTGGAAAAATAAATTTAGGTGAACCATTATTATCTCAGTAATTTGTTGAAATTCTATTATTATACCATAGCCATATGACTAGGGAGGGTGTATATCATTTGATACGGTCAAAACGTGCCTCATCGAAATTAAGGTTTTATACCCTATGTCTTTTTGGACCAAATCCGTTTCCGGACCTTTGGAGTCGATCTAGCGATGTTCGTCCGTTCGTCTGTCTGGCTGGTGAGCACGATAACTTTCGAAGGGAGTATCCGATTTGATCCAAACTTGGTACATCGTAATATTATTGCCAAACTTAGATCAAGTTCGGAGATGGGCAATATCGGTCAACTCCTTCTGGTACGTCCCCAGTCCACCACTTCAAGTGCCTCCCCCATTTTGAATATTTTATCACTCTTATAAAATGTGATGTAAGAGTGCGATTTCTTTAAATTACGCACATCCCAATATTTTTTTTAACCCTAGGTCTGGTGTGAATATGGTGTATATCGGTCCACTCCTTCTGGTACCTCACCCACAGAGCGTCAAAATTTTAAATAGTCATGAAGCTCATAAAACACGAAATTAACAACCGATTCCATTCGGACTTGGCACATCTAAATATTTCCATCAACACAAGATCCGTTATAAATGCAGTAGAGATCGGACCATTCCTTTTGGTACCTCCCCCACAAAGGATTAAAATTGTGAATATCCCAAACGATCATAAAATCCGAAATAAGCACAAGGTTCTCTTAAAACTACACGCTTCACAATGTTATTATTAAACCAAGGTCTTGTGTGAAGATGGAATATATCGATTCACTCCTTCTGGTACCTCCCCCACAGAAGTTCAAAATTTTAAATACTCATGAAACTCAGAAAACACGAAATTAACACCCGATTACGTTCAGACTTGGTGCATCTTAATATTTCCATCAACACAAGATCTGTTACAAAAATGGTAGAGATCGGACCATTCCTTCTGGTACCTCCCCCACAAAGGGTTAACATTTTGAATAACCAAAACGGTCATAAAATCCGAAATAAGCATCCGGTTCTCTTCAAATTACACGCTTCACAATATTTTTATTAACCCAATGTCTGGTGTGAAGATGGATTATATCGATCCACTCCTTCTGGTACCTCGCCCACAGAGCGTCAAAATTTTAAATATTCATGAAGCTCGAAAACACGAAATTAACTTCCGATTCCATTCAGACTTGGCACATCTCAATATTTTTATCAACATAAGATTTTTTTAAATATGCTAGCGATCGAACAATTCTGTCTGGTAGCTGAACATATCGCAATATTCCACTCGGTAAATATTGAAAAATGAGCTCGGAAATTCCAAAAAGTGCATGAACTTACACCGCAACGGAGAGAAAATAGACTCAAAAGAGCTAAAGAGTTGCTTCGCTTGGCCGAAAGTGGTGAACTGCCGAATTTGGTTTTCTCCGATGAGAAAACATTCGTTGTCCAATAGTTTGTAAACAAACAAAATTATCGTGCTTACTTGCCAAAGAGGACAGCTGAAAATGTGTACCTTTGGTTGGCCACCAGAACTCAAGCGCCGGCCATGATGATGGTGTGAGCCGCCATAATAGCCGATGGTCGCCCTCAGCTCGTATTAATCAGAATAAATGCCGAATATTACCGCAAAAATATTCTGGAATGTATATTAAAGCCTTGGGCACGCAAACATTTTGGCCGCAGACCACCCAAAATGAGGTTCCTCGCTTCATTTCCAGCGCACAATGGCCACAAAAATCTCCGGATACCCATCCGCTGGAGTATTTTGGAAAGCAAGGTTGGCACTTAAAAATACCAAAGTGTCGATCACCCCAAGCAAGCGCTTCGCCGGGAATGGGCCAAAATACCGCAGAGCAACATTCGGGCAGCGTATGACGGTTTCATTGGCAGTTCGAAGGTTATAATTCGTGCCAAAGTTGGCCAATTCGAACAAATCTAAACTTATTCTAAAATGTTCCAACATTTTTTGCTTTCATTCAATAAAATTAAAAAAAATGTAACAATTATGTCGTTTGACTTTTTTGGAGTTTTTTCATCTCACCCTGTATATGGAATTTATGATTTCGCATATAATTGGATATAAATGTTCGATTTCCTTCAAATTTTTCACATACCACATTTCACATTTTTAGCTGTATTAAGTGAAGTATGAAAATGGAATACTTCGGTCAGCTATATCTGTCACCTCACGGATATATCCACATTTTCCAAAAAATTTCCACATATCTCATATAAAGTACAATAAGTAGTCGATATAGTCCAAATCTGTCATGTTGTAGTTTTTATGTCAGTCTTAGGTCAGATACGAAGTGGTTAATATTAGCCAATTGCTTCGGAACCTCCCCCATAAAGGGTCAACAGCTTTAAAAAATCATAAGTCAACATCTGTCGGCATAACCGACTGATACAATTTTACTTCTCTTTTTATAATTTTTATATATATGAATTCCAAACCAATTTCATATTTTAGATAAAACTTTTTAAACAACAAATATTACTTCTTTTTTTAAATAATTTTAAAGTGCCAATTAAGATAGCAAATAATTTTGTCACAATTCTTTAAATTTTTCATTCAATTCTCCCCTCTTTTTTCTCATTACAGTCACATTCCAAAGGCCAAAGCCACAGCGATTGCAGATACGCCCGAACTAAAGAGAATAGCGGAAAATACGAAAATCCAATCGAATGTTAAATATCATGAAGATTTTGAAAAGGCCAAAGGCAAATTTACACAGGTCAGTCACCATTAAAACGTATCAACAAATTATTCACAAAACGAGGAAGAAAAAAAATGAAAACAAAAAATGCACTCTACAGCTACGTTTTTCTTTTTTATTTTGGGTAGTGGACGGACGGATGGATGCAAGTTGGTCTACCAACTGTTCTTTTGTGTGTGTGTGTCCATAAGGCGTGGTTGCATGTGTGTGCGATTTTTTCATGGCAATTTTTTTTAAGATTTGTTGTGACCAACAAATATGGGAACAGTGGAGGATTTTTTGAACTTGTGTGAATTTTTTTTATATTTTCTCGGAAGGGTATAAAAATTTGGTTATAAATGTATGACTGTCATAGAGTTTCAAATCTATGTAGCTTTGTCCTTGTATATATTCATTCATTTGCTGACATTATAATGGAGATTATTAGAAAACAAAGATTGTGTAGGGTAATTGGTATTGAAATTGTGCTATAACGTTACCTTTGGGTTCTCGTTGGATACAAGAGAATAGCCAAAGGAACACTTTTCAACAAAGTTGATTAAAAAATCTTATAGCGATTCAGGAGTTTTAAGATCCTAACTGCAATTTTCAGCATTAGTACCCATATTTTGATTCTAAAATTTTAAGAGGTAGGAAACATTTTCGTAAATATATGCCCATCCTTAGGTATGATATTTTAAAGGTTCTATGTCATTTTGTCAACTTAATAAGCAATGGTTTGCAGTATATTTACAGGTTCTGACATAAGGTCGATTTCAAAATGTCAGGAGAATACAAAACCTATGGTACTTTATATAGAATAACTTTAAAAACTCCAACATGGAAATCTCCATATAGAACTATCCTTTACACGGGAGAAGTCCTCCAAATGTAGAAGATATCCTCTATATCTCTCATAGGTCAACTGAGAGGTGTTTTTTTTTTATAAAAAAAAAACATTATAGAATGTATTTTCTATATAGAGTAACAATCTTCTCTACATAGACGTCCTAGAGAATGGGTTCTTTATTTAGAAGGCTTTCTCCATATAGAAGGCCTACATGGAACACAAACAGCAGGTCTTCTCCGTGTAGAGAAAATCAACAGCATATCTTATCTGTATAGAAGACCAACTGTAGATTTTCTCTTAATAGAATAATTGGCGAAAATCGTTACTTCTTAGAAGACTTCGAGAAGGTCTTCACTATCTAGAACGCCTGTGAAATGCCTTTTATGGAAGGTCTTATTCATATTGAAAGCCTTTATAGAAGACCAACATAAGGTTTATCCAGCAGGTCTTTTCTATAAAGATATCAACATCGGATCTTCTTTATATAGAGAAGACCAACAGAAGATATTCTCTATTTAGAATAATTGTCCTATATAGAAGACTAAGAGAAGGTCTTCTCTTTGTGGATGGCTATAAAAGGCCTTGTATATAGAAGTCCTTCTCTTTATGGGTGATCAACCGTAGATCTTGTCTATATCGAGAAGACCAACAGTACGCCTTCTCTATGTACAGAAACTCAATAGAAGGTCTTGACCAACAGTGGATCTTCTCTACATAGAAGACCAATCATAGGTCTTTTTTATATAAACGATCCACCATATGTTCTGCTAAATTGGAGACCAACAGTACGTCTTCTCCATTTAAACGACAGTAGGTCTTGTCAATTGTAACGGTAGGATTTCCCCCTTTGGGCTGGAATAGTTTGCCGGGTCCAGGGGTTCGTACAGAAATGTTATTTGTTAAAACAGAAAGAGGATGACATTGGTTTGAGTTTGGTATTACGTTTTTATTGATTCAGTCCGGGATTGGAAGTGGTTCTTGAACCCGAGACCTCGTTAAGTACTCAAGAAATTGGACCTGAATAAGTACTTAAGCAGGCTACAGAATATTCAAGGATACGGTTGCGAGAGACCTCAATAAGTACTCAAGCAAACCACAAGGACCTAGGATACGGTTCAGAGAGACCTTAATAAGTACTGAAGCACTGCAAGGCTACAGGATATTTAAGGATACGGTTGCGAGAGACCTTAATAAGTACTCAAGCACTAAAAGATATTCAAGGATTGCCAGATAACTTAATAAGTACACAGGCACTACAGGATATTCAAGGATACGCTTACAAGAGTCCTTAGTACGTACTCAATGATACTCTAGGATACGGTTGCAAGAGACCTTAATAAGTACTCAAGCACTACAAGGATCTACGATAGATGGACTACAGGGATATTCAAGGTTACCACCGGGATTCAAGGATTAGAGACCTGTATAAGTACTCTTAGGAAGGATGTTCTTATCGAAGTTGGTATTGTCACGTTCTAGGTCTGGCACTGACTGTCACGAATTTGCAATCGAATGCCCTTTTATACCCGACTCCACCACGTGTTCGCATTGGTGTAACTGGAACTTGTTTACAAAAATTTGGTTATCACAACAACAATGGTGGTGATGAGTGGACACTGACTTATTGTTGTGATAACGGTTCACCTGCAATGAGTATTTATATAATTTGTATGGGCAAAAATGACTGGAAGGATTTCTACCGTCACACTATATAAATGTTAATTTCTACATAGAAGACATGGTAGCCTTTCTTATGTAGAAGACTTATTGAATACCTTTCCTATGTAGAGGACTTAAAAAAGGTTCTTTCTATTCTAAGGTCTTCTATAAAAGATTCATAAAAAGTCTTCGCTATATGGAAGATCTAGAGAAAATGTTCGCTACATAGCATAAAATGTCTCACCTCTATATGAAAGACCCGAATGTCTTCTCTACATAAATGTAAAACATCCCTGTCCCCTCTATAAGCGAAGTCAATATCAGGGCTTTTATATAAAAAGTTCAATCTACAAAACGTTTTTTCATATAGAGGGTCTTCTCTTTATAAAATACCCTAAAAAGGTCTTCTTAATATAGGCCTTCCTATATATAGAACAACTAATCAATGGTTTTCCTATACAGAAATCCTAAAAAGGATTTCTGTATTTAGAAGCCTTAAAAGGTCGTCCTGTATAAAATACCTACAAAGTCTTTGCTACATAGCTCATACATTTTACAAAATATCCCCCAAGACTTTTCCTCCACTGTGTCATAATTTTGGAGGCGTTAACCTAGAACAACAAATTTCGACATATTGTTGCGATATTTTATCCTTGCATAGCTGTTCGTACAACAACAGCAGCAACAACACACAACAAAATGCATTTTATCGCCACTATTGGCCAAAGGCAATGTTGGCCTTTTTTCGAAATATTTTACTTGACGCTGGCCATACATGATGTTGGCTGTATTAGATTTAGTTAAGTTTTGTTATCACATGACCGAGGGCGGAAAACTCATTTGAAATTCCACCCCAGAAATGTGAGTTTTTTTTATTTTTGTTAAATTTTTCCATTTCTTCATTTTCCTGACACATGTACACAGGTCGCCGATGATCCCGAGACATTGCGTATCAAACAGAATACCAAACACATATCAAATGTGGCCTATCACGGTGATTTGGAAAAGAAAGCTGCCATGGAGAAGCAACGCGGTGCCGCCGAGGTATCAGATACAACAAAAGGTGCGTATAGCAAATGAGTGCTACATTTTCATATTTGTAAATATATATTTGTTATAACTTATTGTATTTCCAAAACAATGATTTGTCAATATTATGTTTCAAAATGTCTAAAAATTAAGTATTAAGTATTAACCTAGCTTAAGATAACCCAAACTCCTCCGCCCAAATGGCCATAACTAAAATCTGATTGTACTTAAATTTCTACATGTCTCGCCGGCTGGACTTTGTTTGGAATTACAAAAAAAAAAAAAAAACAATTAATTTGAACTCCTTCCCTCCCTCAATGAATGGTAAGACAGATGGAAATATTTCTGTCAAGATTTTTATGAAAACCCAGATTCCAATTCCACTGAACATTGGCCAGAAGTTGTTTTCCTGGAAATTCCACAAAAGTAATTATAAATAACAACATGATAATTATATAAGTATGTGACTTTAGAAAAAATAGATGGCAACACTAGAAGATATTTAGAGTTTGATATGAGAGACATTTTCAGAAATTATTATTTTATTTTTGGAAACCCAAAATATTACGTTTTTAAAATTTATTGAAATTGGATAACTAAATATCCATGACTTTCTGTGTTGATTTATTGTCAATTTTAAATATAGTTTTGAAAATAGTTCATGCTTTCATCACTCTTCCAATAGGTTTTAGATTTTCGTGTATTTATTAATATGACTCAACAATATAAAAAATACATACACGTGTTTTGACCTCTACCTCGGCAATAAAAAGTGATGTGCGTTGTGAGATTTTCATCTCCCAAAAACGCCTAAGAAGTTTCCTTCCGTGTGTTTCCGTGAATAAAGGTGTATTCTGTACAGGGTGTGCCATATTTGTTTACATTTACGTTTTTTTAAATATGATAAGCAGTTTTTAATTTTTTTTATATTCTCAGCCATTTGGCTGGTTATACCCTCAGTCATATGGCTAGAGATGATATATATTAGAAACGGCCAAAGCGTGCCTCATCGAAACAACGGTTGTAGACTCTAGGTCTCTTTGGACCAAATCCGTTTCAGGACATTTGGAGTCGTTCTAGCGATGTCCGTTCGTCCGTCTATCTGGCTGGTTGGTGTGCACGATAACTCTCGAAGGGAGTATCCGATTTGGTCCAAACTTGGTACATCATAATATTATTATCAAACTTAGATCGAGTTTGGAGACTGGCAATATCGGTCCACTCCTTCTTGTACCTCCCACACAAAATGTCAACATTTTCGAAAAAAAAAAATAATTTACTGCACACAAAGAGAAAGGATGATTCGATGTTGCTCAAACTTTGCGAATCCTAATATTTGCATCAGTGCTAGGTCAGGTGCGAAAATTGACAATATCGGTGCACTTCTTCATGTACCTCCCCCACAAATGGTACACATTACAATATTTTTATTAATCCAAGGTCTGTTGTGAAGATGGTAGAGATTAGGCCGTTCCTTTTGGTACCTCCCCCCCAAAAGTTTAAAATTTTGAATATCCATAAAGCTCATAAAACGCGAAATTAAAATCCGATTCCATTCAGACTCAACACAAGATCTGTTATGAAGATGGTAGAGATCGGACCACGCCTTCTGGTACCAGCCTCCACAAAGGGTCAACGTTTTGAATAACCAAAACGATTGTATAATCCAAAATAAGCATCCAGTTCTCTTCATATTTGTGGTACCTCCCCCACAGAGGGTCAAAATTTTGAATATCCATGAAGCTCATAAAACGCGAAATTGCCATCCGACTCCATTCAGAATTGGTACATCTCAATATTTCCATCAACACATCTGTTGTGAAGATGATATATATCTTCGAACCCCTCCTAATAACTCCCCCATAAAGGGTCAATGTTTTAAATAACCAAACCGATTATAAAATCCGAAATAAGCATCCAGTTCTCTTCACATTTCATATAGGGTCAACAATTTGAATTATCATAAAAGAAGTCAAAATATATTCAAATAATCGAACATTGGCTGTGGGTATTCATCTGTCGGCAAAACCGACTGATACTTTTTAACTTTTTGTTGTTGGAATTTATATTCCTTTTAGGAACAGGGAACATTTCAAACCCATTTGGGAAAGGGCCTAGAAAGCAAAAAATTAAAATTTCTTGTTAAATATACAGAAAAAGTAGTCATTTTGAAGGAGCTTCCCCATGGCCCTTGCCCTGTGCATGTCCCTTTATAGGGATGTCAGCCGATTTTATGGGTTCTAGGGTCCTGATCACACTTTTTAACGGCATTAATATTTTGAAATCTAATTTTGCGCAAACATTTTTCAATGTAATTCGGAAATTCACAATTAGAAAGTCGGGTCGTAGACGATTTCAATTAAACATGGACCTTAAGCTAGTGAAACTGAACATTTCATCAAAATATAACACATCCCGGTTAATGCTTTGGAATAGAAACAGGTTTCCTTGAGCCATTGTTGCACTTGATAAGTGATAAATTTTACTTTTCAAAGTGTATATTAAGAATCCGAAAGCCTCACATGCATATAAAATGTGATTAAATTTTGCTCAAATTCAAAAATCTAAGCTCTATTGACAATGTATGTTCTAGTCTTCTCATAAAAGATTGTTTTTAGCAAAATTAAATTTATTTGTTTATTTTTTTTTTAATTTTTATTATATTCTTTCAATTAAGGCACACCCTGTATTGTTTGCATATGTACTCGTATGTCGGTATGTTTATTTGTTGAAATAAAAAACACACACACATTCATTGAATGGTGCGAAAATCATGTGCGTGTGTTATAAATTGAACATTTTATCAATTACGTTTTTTATTCTACTTCTTCTGCTACTGCCGCTGCTGCTGCTCTCCACCCACCCATCCAAATTTAACGCCGACATTAATTGAAAGTGTCTAAATTTTTACAGTTACGTCAGAATTCCACATTGCGTGTTTCGATTCGATTTTCGCAAATATTTCCTATTTATTTTAGTGTAAAAGATCAAACAAATTGTTGGATTTCCTTTTTGTTTCTTTTTTTAATTATTTACCATTATTCAGCATGATGATGTCGGCTATTAGTGGGAGAAAAAAGAAAAAAAATCAAAATGATTTTAAACGAATGCGTGGCTTTTTGAGATCCGCGGCGGGAAGGCATCGTCATCGGGAGAAGGGATGGTGAATTGGGATTTCAAAAAAGTACCCACACCGCATATGGGTTTCTTAGTTTTGCTCCCAACTAGGGATATTGCCTACTGGCACAACCTCTTATAAAGGGTCAAAATTTTAAGAAATCATGAACCTCTTATATAGCTTGAAGTATCCCTGATTTGATGTAAATTTTGCACATCGTAGCATTTTCGGTCAGATACGAATATGAACCAAAAAAGGCCGTCTATGTACAGCTTCCCAAAAATAATTACTGTGTAAAAATTACATTTTTCTTCAAAAAACTAATCCATTATGAAAGTAGAGCTATATAAAAGTAGCAGATTCCAGTTCTGCCATATGGCTAGAGAGGTTATATATCATTTGATAAGCCCAAAACGTGACTCATCTTTGGACCAAATCCCTTTAAGGACATTTGGAGTCGATCTGGCGATGTTGGAGTAACAGACTGGCTGGCTGGGGCGCAGGATAAAGGGAGTATCCGATTTGGTCCAAACTTAGTAAATCCTAATATTATTGTCAAACTTAGATTGAAGATGGGCAATATCGGTCCACTCCTTCTGGTACCACCCCCACAAAATTTCAACATTTTCAAATAAAATAATTTACTGCACAGAAAAAGAAAGGATAATCCGATTTTGCTCCAACTTTGCGTATAATAATATTGGCATCAGTACTAGTTTAGGTGCGAAAATGGGCAGTATCGGGCCACTCCATAAAATACCTCCCCCATAAAGGGTCGAAATTTTGCATAATTCACACTTTTATAAAATGTGATATAAGAGTCCGATTGTCTTTAAATTACACACAGCACAATATTTCTATTAACCCAAGGTCTGGTGTGAAGATGGGATATATCGGTTCATTCCTTCTGGTACCTCCCCCATAAAGGGTCAACATTTTGAATTTCCATGAAGCTCATAAAACACCAAATTAATATCCAATTCCATTCAAAATTCGAATATCTCAATTTTTCAATCAACTCAAGATCAGTTATGAAGATGGTAGAGATCGGACCATTCCTTCTGGTACCTCCCACACCAAGGGTCACTAACACTTTGTGAACTAACACTTTGTGAAGTTAACATCAGATTCCATTCAGACTAGATACATCTCAGTATTTCCATCAACACAAGATCTGCTATAAAGTTGGTAGAGGACGGAGCATTTCTTCTGGACCTTCCCCACATAGGGTTCAAGATTTTGGAAAACGAAACGTTCAAAGAAAGCGAGTTAAGCATCCAACTCTCTTCAAATTTCACACATCCAAATATTTTTGCTAACACAAGATCTGTTGTGAAAATGATATATATCTGCGAACCCCTTCTGGTAGCTCACCCACAAAGAGTCACAATTTTCAATATTTTTATCTGGCATAACCCCTGACAAACCCCATCTGGTACCTTACCCACAAAGGGTCACAATTTTCAATGCTTATATCTATCAAAACTTGCGAAACAAGTCGGCGATTCTTTACAACTTTCTATGTCTAAATATTTCTCTTAACCAAAAATCTGATATTAATATGTAAATTTATGATTTTGCATACAATTGAATATACATGTTCGATTTCCTTCAAATTTTGCATATACCAATATTTTTATCTGTATATGATGACGTATAAAAATGAAATAATTCGGTCCGCTATATCTATTACCTCACGCATATTTCTACATTTTCCAAAAAAATACACATATCTAATATAAAGTATAGGTAATAGTCGATTTAGTCAAATCTGGTACGTTGTAATATTTATGCCAGTCTTAGGTCAGATACAAATTGGTCAATATTGGCCAACTGCTTCGGAACCACCTCCATAAAGGTTTGACCCTTGAATTATCATAAATCAAGACTGAGGGTATACATCTGTCGGCGAAACCGACTGATACTATTCTGCTTGTTTTTCTATAAAAGTCAAGTAAATATAGAATTTAGACTTCTGCAAATTGTAAAAAATATGCATTTAAATCGTATTTTTCACACATCCGCATTGTAATATTTCTTTGGACCTGAAATTACACTCGAAGATGATTTTGAAAATACAACGATCTCCTTTCGTTTTCGTCAATCCAATAATGAATAAGATAAATATATATTGGGTTGGGTCCTGGGTCATTAATCAGCCTTTGCACAACCAATATTCTATTCCCCTGGCACCATTAAATTAAGCATAAACAAACGTTCAGTGGATTTTGGGTCTATAGGGAACCAAGAAAAAACATTTTTCGAATTTATATCATAGCCTGAAAAAATTCTGTGAAATTTCGATAAAATGGATGATACATTTTTACTTATTTGTAATTTTTTAAAAATATGTCAACAGTCCTGCGTACATTTTATAGAATTTTTTTTATTTTTTCTTATGTATTAAAAGAGTTTGCCGAATTAGGCTGTCTTCTATAATTATGCCATGGTGCACCCTATATGATACAAATTTAATTATAATTATTTTTTTTATTTTCAAATATTTTATATTTTATTATTTTCTGGTTTTTATTTACTTATTTTTATATATAACTGTTTTTTTTAATTGTTTAATATTCTCTGATTTTTAATTTTTAAACATTTCAATTTTTTTTTTCATTTCAATTTTATGTTTATATTTGTGTCGCCCTGTATGTTGCTTGTTTTGTGTGCTAAACAACAAACCAACTCATATTCAACACTTAACTCACCTTGTTATGGCTATCAATCATGTTATCCCACCACGTCAACTCGTCAATTCACCACTCGAAAAATGGTTAAATATTTGTTTTTTGCTATTCATGACAAAAACCAATTTCCATGAAATGACGAAAATTTCACCTCATCTAAACCAAATCTCACCAATTAAACCAACCACCCACCACACCACTCATTAACTAAAAACTCACCATAAAATGTGTGAAAAAAAAAATTCAAAAAAAAAATATGTGTGTGCATGCCCCGATTGGATGAATTATTTTAATAAAATTAGACGAATCGGAATATTTCTCAGAACAATTGGCTGCCGAACAATTTGCACAGTATGCCCCACAAGTCCATGCATCCCATTCACCATTGCCGCCACAGCAATTGTCACCACGCATGGGTGTTGCACCACAGCAACAGGCACAGCAGCAACAGCAGACGCCGTCACATGCACTGGCACCACAGCACCATCAATACCTTTATACAAATACACCAGCAACACAGCAACAGACAATGCCACCACCCAATATACAACAGCAACAACAACAACAGCACAACACGGCCCACATTGTGCCTAGCAATCAGACGCTGGGCATGAACTCTCACAGCTATCAGACAAACAGTAGTCGGCCAGGGCCAGCACAACACCAACAACACCCCTATGCATCGACACACCAACAACAACAGCAGCAACAATTTATACAACACGAACAGCAACAACAACAACAGCAATATCAGCACTATCAACAGCCTCAAATGATGCGTCAGCCTCAAAACCTGCAGCAGCAGCAGCAATCGCAAACCCACGGACTTAAACAATCTTCTCATTTGTATCCATCTTCTTCTTCTTCTACCCCCACAACAGCTGGCCTCTCCAATCTACAGGGAACATCACAGTATCAGCAACCCAACAATAGCTACAATCAATTGCGTTCGGCCATTTTACAGAGCTCCCATCACCCAACAGGAGCTCTGATTCCCAACGATTCCTCGATGCCGGCATTGAGCACGGCCACACCCTACAACAATACCTATGACCAGTATGATAATAATAGCGCCACCAGCACCACCACCGGTAATAATTACCCCAACAACAGTCAAAGGGCAACATCACAGCAACATCAACAACTCTATCAACAGCAGCAGCAACAACATCAGGCACATCACAACAACAATCATTTGAATAGTAGTGGTAGCAATAACAACAACGGTGGTCTGGTGGTACCACCACCATTGGCCTATCAAGCACCAAAAAGCTCTTCGGCAGCCACAACACCCAGCTATGGTGGTGGTGGTGGCAGCAACGCCAGTACAGCTCAACAGCAACTATTCCCGAATAATGCCTACACGAACAGCTATCAGTCATCACAGGCCACCACACAAGGTGGTGGTATCATAGGTGGCACCCTGAACGGTGGTGGTCAGCCACAAACCAATCATCATCAACATCTCCATCATCATCACAATAGCAATGGTGGCTCCGCCATCAATGGTAGTATTGGTAAAATTGCCGACTATGATCCCCTGTCCGATGGACCACGTCCATTACCCAATACGGCTAGATCAAGCACCACACTCATCTATAGTTCTGATAATCGTGCAAATGGTAAGTCGCTATGTCATGCTAGTAGACTTTTCAATATCATAGTCATATATATTTGAAACATAACCTCAATAAAATTTCAATATTATTGCATTGTAAGATTTGAAGGAAAACCTTTCTTGATAATTTTCTCTTTGAAGAGCCAGATTGTCCGATTGATTCCCCTTCAAATTCTGCAATGTTAACTTTTTTTGTGTCTAGAAAGCTTCTCGTGCTTTGCTTCTGTGCTTAATCTATGCTTAATGTCATCATAGCTTTATAATGTTATTGCCATAACTACTCAATAAATGTACAATTTCTTACTTTCCTTTTAAAAATAACTTTCAAATAAGGTGTAGAACTTAATATCGAATATTTTAGGCTAAAGATGTAAGATATATGGTATTTAAAAATCTGTAAGCATGTATAAATAATTTAATTTTTAAATTTTAGGGATTGAGGTTGGGTCCCCAAGATATATATATCAAAAGTTTCAGTTACAAAAAGAAAAAAAAATGTAAATCCTATTTTGAGATAATTTTGATAATACCATGAGACACAAAAAATAATCATGTGGCAGTATACCCTTGATGCAATTCAACATTATGTTTCCTGAAGACACATACACACTTCACAGCTTTTGATTGAACATTGATTTCACTCGCAGATACCTGGATACGTAGTTTTCTCTGCAAATTTGCAGTGAATCATCTTCTTTGGACTTCCAATCCTTGAAAACCAATTTGCAACATTTTCTACTTAATTTACAATTAGTTCGTTGTTCAAAAATTTTTATTCTCAGGATTACAGGCTTTAAGAAATAATTTTTGCCACAAAATGACGATAATAATCTCCAGAGGGGAAAAGATTTCAAAAATGCAATTTTCGTAAAAAATCGATTTTTGGGATTTTCAGAATTTTAGAAGATATATTTTTTAATTATTTATTATGCCCTGAGCCATATGGTTAGAGAGGGTATATATCATTTGATACGACCAAAACGTGTCTTATCGAAATAACGGTTTAAGACCCTAGGTTTCTTTGAACCAAATTCGTTTCAGGACATTTGGAGTCGCTCTAGCGATGTCCGTCCATCCGTCTGTCTGGCTGGCTGGTGCTCAGAATCCTAATATTTTCATCAGTGATAGATCAGGTGCGAAAACGGGCAATGTCAATCCACTCCATCAAGTACCTCCCCCACAAAGGGTCAACATTTTGAATAATTATACCTCTTATAAAATGTGATGTAAGTGTCCGATTGTCTTCAAATTACACACATCACAATATTTTTATTAATCCAACGTCTGTTGTGGCGGTCCACTCCCAACGGGTCAAAATTTTCAATATCCACGAAGCTCATAAAGCAATAAAGTAACATTCGATTCCATTCAGATTCCATAACATCTCAATATTTCCATAAACACAAGATCTGTTACAAAGATGGTAGAGATCGGACCATTCCTTCTGGTACCTCACCCACAAGGGATCAAAGTTTATTATAAACAAAATGATCCGAAATATGCATCCGGTTCTCTTCAAATTACACGCATCACAATATTTTTTATCAACCCAAGGTCTGGTGTGAAAATGGGATACATCGGTCAACTCTTTATGGTACCTCCCCTACAAACGGCCAAAATTTTGAATATCCACGAAGCTCATAACATCCGATTTCATTCAGACTTGGCACACCTAAATATTTCCATCAACACAAGATCTGTTATAAAGTTGGTGGAAATCGGACAATTTCTTCTGGTACCTTCCCCACATAGGGTTCAAGATTTTGAAAAACCAAAACGCTCAAAGAAAACGAAATAAGCATCCAACTTTCACACATCCAAATATGCCAACCGCTTCCAGTACCTCACCCAAAAAGGGTCACAATTTTCAATACTTATATCTGTCATAACTTGCGATACAAGTCAGCGATTCTGCCCAACTTGTTATATCTAAATATTTCTCTCAAAAATATGGAATTTATGATTTCACATAAAATTGGGCATAAATGTTCGATTTTCTTTAGCTGATGTATGCAAATTAAATACCTCGGTCGACTATAACTCACTCACCTTTTAACATTTTCTAAAAAAAAATCATATAAAGTGAAGGAAGCAGTCGATATAGTGCAAACCTGGCGCGTTGCAATATTTATATCGTATTTATTTAGGTCCGATACGAAATGGATAATATTGGCCCATTCCATCGGACCTACTCCACCGAGGGTCAACAAAATATATTTAAATAATCTAACATTAGCTGAGGGTATACATCTTACGTCAAAAACGACTGATGGTATCTTCTAACTTGTTTTTTAGTTTCAAAATATATACAAATCTTTCAATGGCTACATCGATATCCTATCAAGCTGATATTTGTTTTATAACCAAAATAAAAGTAGTCCAAAAACAAAAAAAAAAACATATGTACATATTTATTATTTCTAAAAGAAAACTAAAAGTGTTTTTTTTTTTTTCTTTCAAACTGAATAAACGACAAACTTTATACTCTTTCAACCCATTATTAATATTTTCTTTAATATTTCTATTTTTTGATTATATATTTTTATATTTTTTCGGTGATCTACACTTTCACTTTTTCTTATTTTTTAAATTCTATTCTGTTTCTTTAACAACAAATATTTTATTTTCTGTTTTTCTTCTTCTTTCTTTTCTTTTCTATTCTGTTCTATACTACTTTTGGGTTTCCGTGGTATTTTATTTTGATTCTACTAAAACATAACTGCCTTCAGTTAATAACTTCTATGCCAAGCGTATAGGCTCCATAGCTGATATTGATCCTGTTAATGGTATTTATGGTTCTTTAACAGCCCAAGAACAACAACAGCAGCAGCAACACCACATGTCCAATCACAATATGCAACAGCCACAATATTATCAACAAATGCCGGCGGTAATGCAGCAGCAGCAACAACAAAATCATCAATCACAACATCACAATCTGCAGCAACAGCAGCTGCAACAACAACAAAAACAGACCAAACAAAATTTGGTAAGTATTTTTCTTCGATTTTGTCAAAACTTGGAACATGGAATACTTTTATCAAACTTAGATCGAGTTCAGAGATGGGATACAGATCTATTCTCTCTGGTACATTTTCTCCAATTAAAAAGACAAATTTTTTACTGCATAAATTTTTATCAATCATAGATCTGATGTGAATATGGCCTTAGGGGCCCTTCATTCCGTTACCACCCCTACCAATGTCAATATTTTTAATATTAAGACACCTCATAAAATGTGAAAATTTGAAAATTTTCTCTAAAATAATCAAAATACCAAAAATCAAGACATGTCATCAATATATCAACATCAAGGGACCCACATCCAATTCTTGTGTTCAAAATTATTTCAACTTCCCTAGCAACCAACAGTGCCTTCAACATTAAAATTCAGGATTGTAGCTCTGACATATCCCCAATTAAATTTAGTACAATTATACGCATATCCAAAACCAACTTCTTCTCTCAACCACAAACACTAACAATGAGATCCATGTCAAATGTCAGGTCTATTCCTTACTTGAATACCAAATTTAGTACTATTTAGTACTTTTCATACAATTATTGTACACATTTCCAAAAACACCTTCATATCTCATTCCCAGATACAACCGTGGTCTTTATATCAAATTTTAGGATTTCAGCTCTATTCCTTCGCCCAATATCAAATTTAGCACCACTTAGTGGTTTTCGAACCTTTGTAGTATACATTTCCAAAAGCATCTTCATATCTCAATTCCAGATACCAACAGGAACCTCAATATGAAAGTTGAGAATTTTAGCCCTATCCCTTCACTCAATACCAAATTTAGTACTTCTCTTACAATTAAAGAAAGCATTTCCACAACCACCTCTTATCTTAATCACAGGCACCAAAAGTAACATCCATATCAAATTTCAGGATTCCAGCTCTACCCCTTCACCCAATTAAGCATTATTTACTACTTTTCGTACAATTACAGTACATACTTCCAAAACCATCTCCATGTCTCAATTTCAGACACCAACAGGTACCTCAATATGAAATTTGAGGATTTCAGCACTATCCCTTCACTCAACACCAAATTTAGTACTTTTCCTTCAAATATAGGATACATTTCCAAACCACCACAAATCTCAAACACAGATACCATTAGTAATACAAATATCAAATTTCAGAAATTTATCTCTATCCATTCACTAAATACCAAATACAGTACCATTCAGTACTTTTCGTACAATTCTAGTACATCTTTCCAAAAACCACCTCCACATGTTCAGGCTACACATGAACAGCGATCCTAGTAACAAATTTCAAACTGCAAGCACTATCTATTCTCCCATTTAGTACCATTTAATACTTTTCGTGTACTTGTAGTACACATTTCCAAAAACCACCTCTTTATCACCAACCTACCACCAACAGGGGCCCCAATACCAAAACCTCAAAAGCTCCATCCGTTAACCCTAAACCAAATTGTTCCAAATTTAGTTCTAAAACTGCCTTTATTATGTGTCCGCATAATACCAAATGGTATCATTTTAGAAGATTAGTATAATTTTAGAACTTTTCATAACCTCCGAACGGGTCCGAATTTAAAAAAACCCTCATTCCGTTTGTTAAGTACAAAGAATTATATTTTTAGTATTTTTTAATACTTTTCATTTTCCCTTTTAGTTCGAATTTCCAAAAAACTCAGCCTTATTTGACCCTTACCCACCAACATAGACCTTCAGGCAAAATGTCAAGATTCTAGTTTCAGCCGTTTCGCCTGGGCGTTGATGAATCACTTTTTATACTCTCGGCCATATGGCTAAAGAGGGTGTCAAGTGATCGATTGAAGTCTGTTGGTTTCCGTATACTCAAATGAAATACAACGACCGTTTTTATATTAAATTAAGAATTCACAAACGTTTATTAAAATCAATTATACGAGCTTAAACTAGTACGCCTTGTCAGGTTGGCTTCGTATCTTCAACTCTTTTACATTTTAAAAATTCAGGGTTGTATCCGGGTTGCATGTAATCGTATATTTTCACATGTATGCAACAAAAGGTATCTACTACTACTTTTAACTTGACAACTCGGCCTTTCCTGACCTGAAGTCGTCCTCGGCTTCATCTTCGCTTGAAACATCCAATTCGGGGGAACATTCACACCATTTCTTCAACTTGTCGGAACTGAATACGGAACAGAATTTCCTATTCGTGATGTTTATTCCAGGAATGTCCTCTATCAGGTACCTGTCGTTGCCCAATACTCGTGCTATTATGTATGGACCTTTGTATTTAGGTTCTAACTTCCGGGATTCACCTGTCGCTGGTGGTTCATTCTGTATAAGGATCAAGTCACCTTCCACATACAATTTCGGATTCGAATGCTTGCTGTCAAATCTTTTCTTCCATCGTTCTCGTTCGCTTTTGATGTTTTCTGCGGCCATGATACGTTTTTCGTTGATGGAAATTTCTTCGTTTTGTACATCATCTTGTACAGCTGCTAACAATCGGTTTTGTATTAAGTCGGTGGGCTTGTAATCGAAAATCAACTCATTCGGACTGTAACCTGTTGTCGAATTTTTGGTTGAATTGATTGACCATTGTAAAACGTGAAGTGCCGAGTCCCAATCCTTCGGTTCTTCAGTGGTAGTTCGTAAATAAGACAGGATAAGTTGATTGACCCTCTCAACTTGTCCATTGGCTCTTGGTGTACGAACGGCATTCTTAATGTGTTGAATATTGTTTCGATCGCAATATTCCTCAAACATTTTTGACGTAAAAGCTGTCCCACGGTCCGAAATTATTCTTCGAGGTAAACCAAAGTATCCACTAACCTCATTTAAAACGTTGATGACGGGCAATGTCTTCGTATTCCTTACAGCTTTAATAACCACAAATTTCGTAAAGGAATCGGCGATTGCCACTATATGTGTATGACCATGCTTGCTTCTTATAAACGGTCCCAAGTGATCAATATGTACTTGCCTAAATGGTAGCGGTTCGACATTACTAAAATGTAGAGCTCCTTCGTGTTTACCACCTTTTGCCTTGTTGTAGCAACACTCTACACACGCTGCAATGTACTCCTTCATATATTTCCTCATGCGGGGGAACCAAAACGTTTGTTCGACTCGTGAGAGGCTTTTCTCCAACCCGTAATGGCCAATATCATCATGACAGTATTTAGCTATGCGCCATCGTATAGCCTTCGGTATGACCAATCGTAGTCCATTTTTCGTTTTCCGGTATAGTCGATGTTTTTCCAATAAGTATTCAGATTTTATCTGTTTCTCTTGCTCAGATTTCAATTCATTTCGCAGTACTCTCATAATATTCTTTATGTGGTCGTCGTTTAGCTGCATCGTGAGAATCCAATCATCGCTATCAATATTCATTATGAACCCTGCTGGTTCAATCTCCGTCTGTGGCTGATCCGGTGAACGGCTGAGAGCATCAACGTGAGCCATACGTGACCCTTGTCGGTGTACATACTCACAATCAAATTCAAGTAATTTCATCAGCCATCGTGCTACTCGAGGTTGTAATTCCTTCGTTGTCTTCACATTAGTAATTGCGGCACAATCAGTGACGATTCGGAATGGCTTTCCAAGTAAATATATACGGAAACGCTGCACCGTTTCAACCACAGCTAAAACTTCCAGCTCGTAACTGTGATATTTCGATTCCGTTTCAGAACAGTGGCGGCTAAAATAAAACACTGGTTGCCAATTACCATTACCATCGGACTGTAATAACACTCCTGCTAATCCGAGACTGCTAGCGTCCGTGTGCACCTCGTGATCTGCTTTCATATCGTAGATTGCTAAAACTGGTTCACTACACAAAATTTGGATTAAACTTCTGAATGCGTTTTCATGGTGTACGTCCCAACGAAATTTATTCTCTTCGCTCTTTCGTGTCAACATCGCAAGAGGTTTCGTAATGGCTGCATAATCCTTTACAAATTTTCGGAAGAAGTTAGTTAGGCCAAGGAATCGTCGTACTTCTGTTACATTCGTTGGTACCTTAAAATTTCTAATCGCTTTTACTTTTTCTTCTCCAGGTAAAATTCCGTCACGTGTAACTATGTGTCCCAAATAAGAAATCTTTTCGGCTAGGAACGAACATTTCGCCAATCGTAACGTGAGACCACATTTCTTAAGGATATCCAAAAATCTTTTTATTCGGTCCAGACCTTCATCGACTGTTTTACTGGGAATTATGACGTCATCCAGATACGCTAAAACTTCTCCTGGTTTCATAAAGCTTATAACTCGGTTCATCGTTGCCTGAAAAACTGCAGGTGCGTTTACCAAACCAAATGGCATCCGGTTGAATTCATAATGACCATCTGAAGTCACGAAAGCTGTGAACTTTTTCGATTCTTCCTCTACTTCAATTTGGTGGTAACCCATACGTAAGTCGAGTGTGGTGAAATAACGATTTCCGGCGAGTTGTGCAATCTGTTCATCCAGTACAGGCATAGGATGCGCTATACGTACGGTTATTCGATTCAACTGTCTATAATCTATACATAAACGGTGTTCACCATTTCTCTTCTCGACCAAAACAATTCCCGATGCATACGGAGAATTCGATTTCCTTATGATTTCGTTATCCAGTAAGTCTTTCACAATATTTGCCACAATAGGACGTTTGGCAAATGCTAGTCGATATGGCTTGCATCGTATTGGTTCTGGAGTAGTAACTTCGATTTCCATCTTCACTAAGTTACACTTACCCAATTCGCTTGACTTTTCTGAAAAACATTGTCGGTTTTCTTGAATGTTCAACTGCAACTTCTTATGCTCTTCAGATGTTAAGCCTTCGTTGATACTAATCGCATTTACGTTTTGCATCCAACACTCATCTCCTTCAATAATGGTGCGTCGACCTTTTTGGCATAAAACATCTCGACCTAAAAGAACATCATTCGGGATCATAGAATTTTCCACAACATAAAGGTTCACGTCGTAACTCGTCTCATCAATGTCAATTGGCACTTTAACCACCTTTGTGCACTCGTATTTGCCACCAGCAAAGCCATTTAAAACCATACTGCAATTTTCCGTTTCGCCAATTATCATTGCAAAACTTCGTCTGATCAGACTCCGATCACTTCCCGAATCAATAAATGCCTCAAACTCCTTGTCCTTTACTTTGACACGTTTACATAGTATTTCGTTGGACTTTACGCTGTCCCTTATATTGTTGACATTTGTGTTCAGGGTTTTTGTTGGACATTCACTTGCACCGTGTGAAGTCCGTTTGCATATCGTACATCTATTCTTCTTCTGTGGATCTGGGCAGTCTACGGCTTTGTGACCAGTATTACCACAATTAAAACATTTGAATTTATTCACTCTTTCATCGCTTTTCCTTTCTGGGGCAGTTCTATTTTCATTGCTACGTTTCGTCTTATTCGATATCGGGTTCAGCACTCTTCTTACCTCGTTATAACTACAGTATGCGTTGATGTCACTCAAAAGTTGATTACAGGTAATATACTCGTTAGATATTTTCTGCTTCAATCCTTGATCATTAATTCCGTTGACTATATGCCGTGCTATGGATGATTCATTTATATTGCCCCGTTTTCCAATAGCATACATTCTGTAATAATATTCCTGCGGCGTTTCGTCGAACTGCCGTTTTGTCTGTGCCATTCTAATGTGTACATCGGCTGCATTTACATTTTGAGGGAAATCTAAAAGAAATTTGTTAACAAACTGAGGCCAAGACAGAAATACCTCTTGCAGTGAGTCAACCCAATACTTGGCTGGGCCAGCCATTTTCTGTTGCACTGCAAATATAACTGATGCGTCGTCCCAGTTATAAGCTGTCTTCAATAATTCCACACGTCGCACGAATTGTGAAGGATTAATCGATTCTTCAGATGACGGATTAAACTCTGGCAAAAGTTGAATTATTTCCTTAACGTTCCCAAAGGGGTTGTGCTGAACATAACGTTGTGAAGGCTGCATAACTATTTCTGACTGCGGCGGCGCTGAATAGACACTTGTTGCAAATATCGGCGGTTGTAGATATGCGTTGTAGGGCTGCGTTGATTGAACATATCCATTGTTCGGCTGCGTGAACACTCCTGTCGGTGTTGCTGTTGTAAAATTCGAATGTGTCGTTATATGTGTTGGTACGTTGTAGCATGACGTCGCTACATTTTGCGTTGTATTTCGTGGAAGTTGAGCATGTCCGTGCAATGAAGGTGTAAACGTTGGTAAACCAGCAGAAGCACACGTGTGGACCGTTGGAATTGTTGACGTAGTCTGAAATGCACCAAAAGAAGTATTCGTTTGAACATACGATGGAATCGAACGTGATTCCGGTAATATTGTCACAACGTTTGCCACGTTTGGCAAGCTAGGCCGTGTGCCTTGCAGGGACATATTACCATCCGGTGTCGAAAACGTGTTCAAAGGGGATGATGCGTTGTTCGGCTCAAATTCTGATTGTCCACGTTGCTCCATAGATGAACGCAATTCAGTTACCATATCTTCCAAATGCGAAATTCGCTCCTGCATATCATGAGGAGATGCGAATCCGTGCAGCTCGCTTTCGTTGTTGACTTCAAGTCGTTCGATCAATTGCTTTTTGTTACCACTTTGAGAAACACCAATTTCTCTGCATTTCGCTTGCAACTGCTTAACCGTGCATTTGTGCAAATTCTCCATATTTCTTGTTGGTAGACGCTTCTTCCAATAAGACTTGTCGTATCCCACTTCTGAGAAAAATGTCAAGTGATCGATTGAAGTCTGTTGGTTTCCGTATACTCAAATGAAATACAACGACCGTTTTTATATTAAATTAAGAATTCACAAACGTTTATTAAAATCAATTATACGAGCTTAAACTAGTACGCCTTGTCAGGTTGGCTTCGTATCTTCAACTCTTTTACATTTTAAAAATTCAGGGTTGTATCCGGGTTGCATGTAATCGTATATTTTCACATGTATGCAACAAAAGGTATCTACTACTACTTTTAACTTGACAAGGGTATATATCATTTGATACGACCAAATCGTGCCTCATCGAAACAACGGTTTTAGACCCTAGCTCTCTTTGGACCAAATCCGTTTCAGGTCATTTGGAGTCAATCTAGCGATGTCCGTCTGTCTGGCTGGATGGCGGTTTTTACCAACTGAATCAATTACTTTTCAACAGAATTAGAGTTATTTTTTCTACTTCAGCAAAATTTTCTGACTAAGCCTTAAGATACCCACACATTACATCAAATTTCATGTTAACGTCAAATACATCCTCACACGTATTTGTAAAAATGTTTTGCCAATCACTTGAACACAATTGAGGACTGTTGTTATTACCATTGACTGACGGACTTTGTTTAAATATATGATTTTTCCATAGCATTCTAATAAATTTCCATTTTTTTTTTCAATTTTTTTCCAGCGTATCTATCGTGCCCTCTATGACTACGAGGCCCAAGATGTCGATGAGGTTAGCTTCCGTGAAGGTGATATAATTTTCGAGGTTGAGTCCATTGATTCTGGCTGGATGACCGGACGCGTGGAACGAACTGGCAAAACTGGCATGCTACCCGCCAACTATGTTGAGCAAGCGGTTATATAATAGGAAATGCATGCCAGCGATAACAACCATCACCATGGGCAGCAGCAGCAACAGCAACAACATTCTGAAACCAATGGCAAGATACCACTAGCCAATGGTAATGGTCATCTCAGCAATGGCAGCATTCACCAAAACAACAAAACGAACACCAACAACAATGCCAATAACAACTCCAACACCACCACCACCACCACTACCCACAACAACCACACTAGTGGCAACCATAACGATGTCATTGTCAACAATATCCTGAACAACAGCAACAATATCCCTGCCACCTCGTATGCATCGTTGCATTCACCCTCACCCACACCAACAAAAGGTTGTTGTTGTAAAAATCACATATTAGTTGTAACCATAATGTGCATTTACATGGCACTTGTATTTATAATATTCTCCAATGTTTTTATGGATGATGATCAGGATCGGACCAGTAGTAATCACAATAATCACAACAGCAACAACAATTTAAAACATAAATCCCAAATGAATAGCGTTGATGCGCAAAATCAAAATGATCGCCAACAAAATTTCTACTATTATTTACTAAATCATGTATTCTAAGAAGAAGAAGAAGAAAAGATGAGGACGGAGATTTTTTTATTTTTATGAATACTTTTTTGTTAAGTTATGCAGTACCTATATCTACATCTACAAGGTTTCTAATTATTAATCAAAACGGAAAACAAACGCATTTGAGTTATTATTTTTTATTATTTTTGAAGCATTTTTCTTAATTTAAATATAATTTCAATAATATTTTCAAAATGTTATGAATAAAATAAACGATTAATTTATTTCTTGCTAGTAAAGAAATGTAAAAAATTAACGATAACAATAAAGAAGAAAAATAAAAGAAACAAATAAATTATTAACACATATACATACCTACTTGATAAACAAAAACTTCAACAACTTTGTGGCCTTTTTTCCATTGGAAACATAATATTTATTTTTTTGTTTTTTGAAAACTAACCCCCTCAGCAAATGCCTAACTAATTTTTAGAGCTCCCCTACTAACAGCCAAGTAATTAATATTTTTTTCTTTCTTTGTTTGTAAATTGTTTGATGAGCAGCTTTTAGTTGATAGCGAAGGTATGTGCGGCAGAGTGACAGAAAAGATGAGGAATTGATATTTTATGGAAATTATCACCTCTACAAATTTGCTTTTCTGATACTCTGTGCGTATGACAGAGTTTTTCCTTCCCAGTTTTATCAAATGAAACCCGGAAGAAAGAAAAACCAAAAAAAAAAAATTAAAACACAAACAAAAGAAATGTTGTTATTTTGAAATATATTTGAAAACCTAAAAAAATATTATGTATAAAAACAAAGTTTATACAATAACAAAAATAAACAAAACTACAAATAAACTAAATAAATCCCCATAAAATATATTTGAAAAAGAAAAACTAAACATTAATAACGATAATTATTATAATAAAACTAAATAATAAAAAACAACCCTATTTCTATTTATCATAAACATAAAATGTCTGAAACGAATTTCTCTTCTCTTTTTTTTATAAATAAATATAGATCAATATTAAAAAGTAAATTTATATATTGTATACAAACCGCAAATAATAAAACATATACATACATACATAAATGTGAAATATACAACAAATATAACAACAAACAAATGAATATACATTTTTATTATTTATTTTGAAAACCATGAAAATCACAATGATTATAAATAAACTTTAAACCCTTAACAACCCCGAAAATGGAACTGAAATAAGGTAAATTCAAAATTGAAATTTTTGGCAAATCATATTTTATTCATCCATGATTTACTTTCACATACTTTTTTTATTTATAATTTCAAGTAATTTGAATGGCAAAAATTAAAAAGTGATACAGAATTCGATAACTCTTAATCTATGTACCTTGTAACCAGATGTGAAATCTGTTCAGTTAGTTAATGCTCTGTTCCAGAACCGTCAACTATCTACTAGTTTTGCATTTTCTTCCTATATCACAAAGAAAAAATCGGTCATGGTAGTAACATTTTTTACATTCTTGCAGTTCTGGAACAGAGCATTAACTAACTGAACAGATTTCTCAACATTGTCAATTTATATAGATGTGTGATGAAACATCAATAGATATTTTCCACCATCATCGGAAGCCCCTTCTGTTAAGGAAAATTGGCCTCAAAACATTCATAAAAAGCCTGGTAGGGTTGCATAATCAATGGTAGTCAGGATATCTACTAAAAAATTTGGAAGTGGAGAAGCAAATTCCTATGCCAGTCTGATGCATGTATTTCATTGTAAAGTAGAATATAATTTAATTTGGGTATTTGAAACCGAATATACGCATTGCTTATTCTTTTAGTTTTTTGGGCAGAAATGAAAGAAGACTTAGGGTATGTTTCTGTAGGACAAACTGGACTAAGCGGACGGACCTTTCGGAGCGCAGTTGTGGTCAACATTTGCATGAAAAAACCTTCAAACATTAAATTATATGGGCCATACTATCAATTCAAATAAAGATATCATGTATTTTTCCGAAACCCCCAAATAGTTTCGAGAGGCATTTCTCTGGCTATGTTGGTCAAATTCTAATTATACCCTCAGCATATACCTAGGCCATATATCATTTGATATGGACAAAAAGTGCCTCATAGAAATAACGGTCTTATTCTTCAGGTCTCTTTGGACCAAATCCGTTTCAGGACTTTGGGGTCGATGTAGCGGAGTTCGTCTGTCTTGAATTTTAATTTTGCTAAATCTTCTGAGAGGTAAGTTTTTATTTTTTTATTTTATTATTTAATCCGAAAAAAATATTAAATGCTTTTGAGGGACAACTTGTTGTTTTTGTTAAAAAAAAAATAAAAAATAATTTTTTTCGATAAATGGTTGCATTTAAATATTTTGAATATATATCTCAAAGTTGATCAATTTTCAATATAAAATCAGCTAACATTATTGAACTAAAGTTGAAAAGAATTTGGAACTTAAACTTATATCAGTTCCATTTTCAATAAAAAGAAACGAACTTTTTAAAATATAAAATAACAAAGCCATAAACAAAGCATTTCAATAAAAAAACCAGTAAGGAAAGCTCAAAAGTCGGGCGGGGCCGACTATATGATACCCTACACCACTATGCATATTTAGACGAGATCTCGTAAAAAGGTTTATACAGGGCATTTCAGAGCTCTATGAGATATTTGGTACAAAATCAAAATCTATCTAATTCTATCGTGCATTTTACGAACTATAGCTATCTCTGAACCGGGTTTCTCCAAATTTGACGTATTAGCTTCTAGACTGAATTCGGTCTTATGTACGAAAATTCAGGTGATTTGGGCTGATATTGACCATTTAGTGTACAATTAACACGAAATCGGATGAAGATATATATGGGAGCTATAGCTATATCTGAACCGATTTTTACTAAAATTGGTGTACTTGCTTCTAAGCTGTTTCGGTCGGATTTGCCAAAATTGATGCTATTACTGCCATTTGGTGGTCAATCACCCGAAATCGGATGAAGATATATATCGGAGCTATATCCAAATCTGAACCGATTTCGATAAAATTTAAAACAGCTATTCCTGTGCTCCATCTAATACCTGGTACTAAATATCACGGTTGTGGAGTGCATAGTAGGAATGTGAGGGACTTAAAGATCAAATCGGATGAAAGATATATATGGGAGCTATAGCTATATCTTAACCGATTTTCCAAATTTGATATACATGCTTCTAGGGCGAACTCGGTTGGGTGTGCCAAAATTCAGGTAATTTGGACTGATAGTGGACATTTGGTGCACATTTAACCCGAAATCGGATGAAGATATATATGGGAGCTATATCTAAATTTGATCCAATTTCAATAGGGTGCGTCCTTGGGCCAAAAAAATATTGTTTGGAAAATTTCATCTCAATCGGATAATAAATGCGACCTGCATTTTGTTCATAAGAATACATGGACAGACGGACGGACGGACAGACGGACTGACATACATAAATCGACTCAGAAAGTGATTCTATGAAGGTTCTCAAAAGTAACTATGGGTCTATCTCGTTTCCTTCTCCATGTTACAAACAAATGCACAAAGACATAATACCCTTACCACTATGTGGTGTAGGGTATAAAAACGAAAATATCTAACATACACGTAACACTGTGTAAACACTTAACCATAACCATTTTATAAATGCCCCTCATATTCACCCCCATTAGAAATTAAGAAAAGCACTGCTTGACAACAACAATTGGTGGACTGAATAAGCCTAAATGATTCTTACAATAACGTTTTGACTTCTCTTTAAAAAGGAGAGTGAGTCGGCCATGGTCTTCTGTTTTACAACAAAATTATTAAAGTCGTAGCTCCATAAAATATACAATTATACAATAATAGAATTTTGATAAAATGTTTTCTTAGAATGAAACAAAACAACAAAAAGAAAAATAAAGCGAAATAAGCAGCTTTTGTAGTTAGCAAAATTGGAATATACACACATGTCTATTAAGCCATTTGGATATGGATAATAATATTGAATAGAAAATACTAAAATAAAGGAAAAAATAAAATTAAATAAACCTACACCCAATTATTGGTAAATCATAGACTGTTAAATAAAACGTAGACTGCTTACAATAAATAAATTAGATAATATACAACACATCCAATTTTTGTACACGCTAACAAATGCTAAATGTGCCAGACCCTTTTAGACCAGAAACATGAATAAAATTGTGAAATAAACGAAAAAGAAAAAAAGTTCTGCTACAAAAATCCATAGCGGATTTATCTTTAAATAATTTTAGACTCTCAACTTTGTGAGAAGTAACATTATTTTTTGCCTTGTTATGCTGAGCTGGAGAAGCAATTTGAATTTTTTTCGTGTTTATTTATTTATTTCTTTTCAGAGGTTTTATATTAATTATTTAAATTTTTTTATATCAAAATGTCTTTTGTTATTTCTCCATAAAAATAGTTCTCGTTAGTGAAAGCGTGAAATTCCCCCAAGTGAATACTTGTTTTAAGTTATATAGACCCATGAAAAGTTATGGGTCATTTTATCCAATTTAAACCAAAACCAACGAAATGCATATCGTCGGCATAGATGCAAATACCTAAAATGGTAAAGACTAGATAAAATGCATTTTGAGAAAATTTTATATTTATATAATTTTTAATGATTATAATATAACTGATATAAAATGTGTAATAATAGTCCGATTGTGTTCAAATTTCACGCATCTCAATACTTCTAGCAAAACAAGATCTGCTATAAAGAACGGATAGTACGATACCACTGCTTCTGGGGTACCTTCGCCACAACGGGTCAACATTTTTAATAACCATTAAAATCATAAAACGCAAAAAAAGCTTTTGATTCCGTTCAAACTCGGCTCATCCCAATATTTCTATCAACACAAGATCTGGTGTGAAGATTCTTATATTTCGGTTCACTAATTCTGGTACCTTTCCCGCAAAGGGGCTAACATTTTGAATAAATAGAGAAATAAGCATCCAATATTTTCTAAACTTTTAAAATTTCTACTAACACAAGATCTGCTGTGAAGATGGGGTATATCGGCCCACTCATTCTGGTGCCTCCCTACAAAGGGTGGCGAATATTGGCTAAGGATATACACCTGTTGGCAAAATCGACTGATATTTTCGACTCACATGTGGTCGTCAATTATACTTTCCACCTTTAAAAGGAGGGTATATTAAATTTATCATTCCTTTTGTAACATCCCCTAATATTCGTCGTAGACTCCATAAAGTACATATAGTCATGATCAGCATAAAATTCTAAGTCGATCTAACGATACCCGTCTGTCTGTCTGTTGAAATCACAATACAGCCCACATTATTTAACGTAGATCTTAAAAATTTGGCAGAACAACTTGTATTGTGTCTAAGATGATTGGTATTGAAAATGAATATATATCGGTCCACGTTTTGGTATATCCGCCATATACCGGTATCTCCCGATATTCAGTATTTTGATGATTTTCGCCACATTTTTTCACAGATTTGTCTAAATAGTGGTATTTGTAGGTCATACTGGGTTCTATCTCCGCTTTCCTATAGCGCACTACAACAACACCCACCTATATTTAGTATTTTGATAATACTGGTCACTTTCACACACGAAATTGTTTCTAATTTGGTATTTAAGAAGATTAAGTAGATCAAAATCTTTGAAGTATAAAATTATCTGTGGAGATTCCCGTTTTGGTATTTTTTTGGTATAGCCCCCATTCAACGGCCTCACCCACTTTATGGTTTTTTGAAAAGTTTAACAGCATTACCCAGACGGTCTTACTGGTATTTGTTTAAAAATGTTTTCTCGGCTGCTGCTATTTTCGTTTTAGCCGAATGAGCAGCCGAAAACATATTTTTAATTTTTTAATAAAACACGTACATAAGTTTTCGAGCTCGTCAGCTAATCTAAGTTAATTTTTGAATTGTAACTTACCAATATTTTTTTTCTAAATATATTGAATAATATCTCACAAAACTAAAATAAATGTATAGGATTCAATAACATTTGCACATTGTCTACATATGAAAATACCAAATGGATAAAAATGCGATTTTGATCCCATTTCATACGACGTGGAATTTTTATAAGCAGCACTGAATTCACAGATGAATATTTGTTTTTGTTGGTTAAAAACCGAGATAAACAGCAGTCATGTTGCTTTCTTGGTGCTGAGCTAATTTGATGCTAAGGCTAATTTCACTTTAGCTTCAGCCGCTAACTGCTACTTTGCCTTTGCTGACGATTTCAAGTAGCATTAGCTCTCTCTGCTAAATCTTTTTGTAATGTGTTGATATTTATTGGCGTAGCTCATTAATGGGCTACATTTTTTAAGATTTTTTTTAGCAGGCAAGGCTGAAAATTTTCGGTATTATTGCTAATTGGGCAATTCTTCTTCTTCATTTCCTTTCCGTTTTGTTTTTCAACTCATTTACTTTTCATAGTTTTTTCTTAACGAGAATAAACCTATCTTCCTGTCTCAAAAAAAACTGCTCTCTTTATACCTTCCTCTCAAAACAACAACATTGAGAATTTGCAAATTTGAATATGAATAAAAAATTTTACGAGCGTATTACCCTCTGAGGTCAATTAAATATTTGCCCTTGACTTGATGGTTTTGGGAGAATGCCATCAACTCCATCAAAAAACAGAGAAATCACAGTGTCTATGTCTAACATTACCGAATGCTCTCAGAATTTAAGTTCCATATTTTATTTCAAAATAAATAAAAAGTAAACGAAATTGTGTCTTGAAATATTAGAAAAGACAAGGCGTCCGTGAGAGCAATAAAATTTCGAACAATATACATAACATAAACATGCAAGAATTAGAATAATACAAAAAATCAGGTTTGTCCATTTGCTATCGATTTGCTATATATCAAATTTGAGTAATTTTTTATGGAAATGGAGATGGGATTTTTAAAATACAATTTAATAAATCTGACTAAGAAACATTGGTTTATTATTATGTATTTAATTCCACAAATCGACCCGATTCCATCACATGCCTGAATTATAATAATAATACGGCATATTAAATAAAACTCTCACGGGAGGAGATGACAGATTGTTGAGTATGTGGACCTGAATTTGTCCACAGAAATAAATGTCTTGTAGCACCGTATAATATAAATTATAGAAAACAAATAAGTATACATACATATAAGTGTTATCAGCACTTTATAAAGAAAAAACAAACAAACTTTTATAAATATGCAACAAATAATACAAAAAAATTAAAGAAAATCTAATTAAAACTTCTATAAACTGTTATTGAATGTTAATATTTACTTTTGTGTAATTAAGTTTTATGTTAATCTAAGTGAAAATTATTTTATATAAATTCTAAGGACAACTTGTGTTTTGAGTGAAACAATAAAATAGTTAAAGCAAACATACATACTCACACACAAATTAAATACTAAAGCAATCACAATTAAAGAATTTACGCAAACATAAAAACGAAAGAATAAATAAATAACAAACTGCTTACTAACAATTGAGAGGTGAAAAAAAAAAAACAAAAATAAAAACGAACTTAAACAATAAATAATGAGAATGAAATAAAACAAAGATTGTAACCCAGTGAAAATGTAAATTTGTTATTGCCTTATGTGGTAAGTATTGACGAAGTTGTTTAAAATAATCCTTTGGGTAATTTCTGGTTTTTGATCCTGGCTAAAAAACACTGTGCGAAATTAAATTTTTCAGATTTTGTGAAAAATTTGGATTGAGATACTTCGAAATCCTTGCATTTTGGGAATGCAGGGTGAGATAAACAACTGCAACAAAGTCAAACGTCATAATTTTTACATTTTTTTAATTTTATTAAACGAAAGCAAAATAATGTCGGAAATAGCATCAAATTTTAGAATAAGTTTGGATTTGTTCGAATTGGTCACCTTTTGGCATGAATTATGACCTTCAAACGGCCAATAAAACGTCACACGCTGCCCGAATGTTGCTCTGCGGCGAAGCGCTTGCTTAAGGTGATCGACACATTGGTGCCATTTTTAGTGCCAACCATGCTTTCCAAAATACTCCAGACACAATAGTCCAACTGATTGGAAACTGGACACATTTTCAGCTGACCTCTTTGGCAAGTAAACACGATCACGATTTTATTGTTTACAAACTGCTGGACAATGAATGTTTTCTCATCGGAGAAAATTTTCTATGCAGGTGCAGGTTTTTGCATAGGCTCCATATATTAGTACATCCTTATATTCAGTATTTTGACAATTTTAGGTACAATATTCACCGAAATTGTTTGAAATTTCGTATTTGAAGTACGTAATAGGTACTTAAGCCTGTGACCGAAAAATGTATATGCAGGTCCAGGTCTTTGTATAGTTCCGATATAACGGACCTCAATATATTCGGTATTTTGATTAGCTACATTATTCACCGTTTTTTAAGTTTCGTATTTGAATATTGTAATATTATGCAAGTCCACGTCTTCGTATAGACCCCAATATAACAGCTATGTTTGGTATTTTTAAGATTTTAACAGGATTTTTAACGGTTTTTATAAATTAATATTTTGTTTTTAGAAAATTTCCAAATTCGTTTTAAATTACGGTATTAAAACTGCTTTTTTTACTTGTTTAAAAAATCGTTTGGGAAATTTGTATCATTCAATAATTGCAGGGAAAATTCAGTAGATTATGAAAGTAGAACAAAAAAAGTTTACGACATAAAGTAACCTAAATACAGGGGGCAAGTTCCCCCTCTTACATATTTTATGAAAATTGTGGATTAAGATTCTTTGGAATCTATTGACTTTCAATACCCTCCACCATTTTGGATGGAACTGCATGGAACAAATTCCGTTAAAAATATGCACTTAAAATATTCAAAATTTCAAATATCTACTGGTAAAGTTATGTATATACTATTGACCTGTATATGCCAGAAACTCCGATTTTGAGATGAAAAATGTGGCTAAAATCGAAAAAATGACAAATGTCAAAAGGTACTATTACATGGAGGATATACGAGTATATGAACCTTCATAGGTAATTTTCTGTCATTAGAAGCGGTACCTATTACGAACTCTACATTTTAAGTTTTAAATAATTCCGGTGAAAATGTATAATTACATGGGAATAAAACTTGGACCAATATGTACAGAAGTTAGAGTGATTTCAGACGGGTCGACAGACGGGCCGACATCGCAAAATCGACATAAAATTTTATGTTGATCTAATTTTATGCTGGTCTAAACTTAACACCGTTCATAATATGGTGGAGGATATAATATATATCTATAAAAGAGGAAAATGTTGGTATGTTTGTTTGTTTATTTGTAATTTATGGCCTCGAATACCGCTACACAGATTTTCCTGGAAATTTCAAAGTGTACTATAACATCGCCTGAAAGTAACATAGGCTATATAAATATATCAGAATGCACATATCTACTTATTAATAACAGATAAAGTCTGCAAATTTGAAATGTGAGCAAAAATAAATTTGCCAAATTATATTGAAATCAGTTCAGATTTGGATATAGCTGTCATATATATTTTCGGCCGATTTTACATATTTGACGCACCTAAAGCGATATGTATGTCCAATCCCAATGAAATTCGGACAGAGAGACGAAATTTGGTACCAAAACAAAAATTTGACAAATTATATTAAAAACGGTTGAGGTTTGGGTTTCGACCGATTTCATGTATGTTAGCACCAAACACGATATGTATGTCCGATTCCAATGAAATTCAGAATGTTTTGCGAGATTTGGTTACAATAATAAATTTGACAAATTAATTAGAAATAGGTTTAGATTTGGATATAGCTCCCATATATATTCTCGGCTGATTTCACATATTTGATGCACCAAACACGGTATGTACCTCTAATTTCAATAAAATATGGACAAAACCCATCCATTCAAATAATATAATACCAACATGTAAACATTTTTACTGTAATTATTATTTTTTTTATAAAGTTATAATTTGGAGTTAACAAAAGTGGTATTAACAAATTATACTTTGTCGTAAAATAATTTAATTTATAGAAAATTTTGAGATTACTACGGTTGTCTCCAAATCGAAAGGATGCTTCACTGAGTATTTTTTATATCTTACAATATGATCCGGTAACTAGGTCAAGTCCAACGTAAACCACAAAAATCCATAATGAATTAAAAAGTACATACAAAATATATTGAAATGCAATCATCGATACATTAAGGTTCCGATTGAATTCATTACCGATTTGATGCGGTACGTCTTTCTTAAACTGTAATTTAATTTTTTTCTATAAAAAATAATTTCCTATGTCGTCGCAAATTTATTCACGATTTAATTGAGTCTAGATAATTTAAACAAAACTAAATTGTCAATAAATTTACGACTACATATAAATGGATTTTCTATTATCTATTGTAATAAATGTGTTTCTAATTTACCATTGTTCCCAAATCCTTCTCCCGCAGTTGTAAGACTACCACTACATTCTCTTTAAAACCGAATTTTAATAATTCTCACTTAATATCCAAACTGGAGAGACTAGCTCGCTGTGCCAATAATGTTTCAATTATCATATTTTTCGTATTGTTTATGATTTCTTCAAAGGTTTTGAGATCACTCTCCTTTTCAGCGCAAATATAGTCAAGTTTCTCACGAAGCATCGCAATTTTTTCACTGGCCAGCTCCAATCTAAAAATATAAACAGTAATTTCGTAAAGAAACCATTATCATTAGTCGATTAAAATTGTCTTACATTTCAAAATTTTGTTATTTCATCCAATAAATTTACATACCGATTTCTTAGCTCTGTTACATTTGCCACTTCGCCACCCATATCACCATCCGTATTATTACAATTTGGAATATTGAGAATGGAACTATTTTCGAAGGTGAAGGACATCAGGGATGTATTACTACTTATCGCCGATAAACTTGAGGCATATTCTGCAATACGTTGAGTACGTTTCTTCTTCTCGTTATTCGTTTCGATATCACGTTCCATATCACGAATTTTCGATTCGAGACGTACAATTCGTATCTTTTGTTTGGTCGTCTGTTCTTGTAGATTATCATTTTTTAAACGTTCCTGTTCGATACGCTCATTTAGGGTTTTATTGTGTTCCATTAGGGAATTCTTTTCCGCTTCCAAAGTATCCAAAATGGTTATGAATTCCTCCTGCGGGAAAGAAAAAAAATATATATTCCTGAATATGCTCTTTTCCAAAACATGCAAAAATCTACTGGCTTTGCAATTTTTTCGATATCATAAGCGAAAAAATCGGGTATAGTGGAATTATTTTTATAATTTTTTTTGGATACCCTCAGCGATGTGGCTATGGATATATGTCTTTTCATCGAAATAATGGTTTTAGACTCTAGGTCTCTTTTGCCCAAATCCGTTTCAGGACATTTAGAGTCAATCTAGCGATGTCTGGCTGGTGGGCACGATAACTCTCGAAGAGAGTATCCGATTTGATCCAAACTAAGTACATCGTAATATTATTGCCATACTTAGATCAAGTTCGGAGATGGGCAATATCGGTCCACTCCACACAAAATGTCAACATTTTCAAAGAAAAAATTTACTGCACAGAAAGAGAAAGGATATTCCGATTTTGCTCCAACTTTGCGAATCCTAATATTTGCATCTGTGCTGGGACAGGTGCGAAAATAGACAATATTGGTCCACTCCAGCAAGTACCTTCCCCACAAAGGGTCAATTTTGATTATTCATGAAGCTCATAAAACAAGAAATTAATATCCGATTCCATTCAGACTTGGCACATCTCAATATTTTTAACAACACAAGATCCCATATAAAAATGGTACAGATCGGACCACTTCTTCTGGTACTTTCCCCACAAAGGGTAAACATTTCGGATATTCATGAAGCTCAGAAAATACGAAATTAATATCCGATTCAATTCAGACTTGAAACATCTCAATATTTTCATCAACACAAGATCTCTTATAAAGATGGTAGAGAACGGACAATTCCTAGCCCACAAAGGGTCAGAGTTTTGAATAACTAAAAAGATCATAAAATAGGAAATAAGCATGAAGTTCTCTTCAAATTACACACATCACAATGTTTTTATTAACCCAAGGTCTGATGTGAAATTGGGATATATCGTTCCACTTCTTCTGGTACCTCTCCCACAAAGGGTCAAAATGTTGAATATTCATGAAGCTCATACAATGCGAAATTAACATCCGATATTATTCAGACTTGGTACATCTCAATATTTCCATCAGGACAAGATGGAACAGAACTAACTATCTGTTCTGGTACCTCCCCCACATAGGGTTCATGATTTTTTGAAAAAACAACATTTAAAGAAAGCGATAAAAGCATCCAGTTCTCTTCCAAATATATATCTGCCAACCCCTTCTGGTACCTCACCCACAAAGGGTCACAATTTCCAATACTTATATCTGTCAAAATTGCTTAACAAGTCGGTGATTCTTTACAACTTGCTATGTCTAAATATTTCTCTCAACCAGAAATCTTATATGAATATTTAATTCATCGGAATTTATGACTTCGCAAAAAATTGGATATAAATGTTCGATTTCCCTCACATACCAATATTTTAATCTATATTAGATGAAGTATGTAATCCAAATATTTTTATCAGTCTTAGGTCAGATACGAATTGGTCAATATTTGCCAACTGCTTCGGAACCTACCCCATAAAGGGTCAACAGTTTGAATAATTATAACTCATGGCTGGGGGTCTAAACCTGTCGGCAAAACCGACGGTTGCAATTTTTTCTTGTTATTTCGGCTAATTGGATTATGTCTAATCCAAAATAAAAAAAAAAAAACTTCTTGACATTTTCATAAGATAATGAACAAGAAATCATTGTTAAGTTCGACAGACATATAATTTGCTTTAAATTTTCTTCCCATACTAACCTTTCTCAATTCACGACAAGAAAACAGAAATCCTCCACACAATGCCTTCATATCTGCTTCCAATTTTCTATTGACTTCCTGCAGCTCAATAATATTATCATCTTTATTTCCAATTATATTCTCCAATTCCTCAATTTTTGACTGCAAATGTTCGGCTCTCAATTTTAAATCATCTCTCTCCTTGGTCAGCTCTTTCAAACTGTCTGTCACATCGGCAATTTTCTTTTCATATTGCAATTTTTGCTGATTTAATTTATCATTCATTGTCGCCAGATTTATGCTATTGAAATCACTTTGCTCTTCCAGATTATTGGCCTTCATTTTATGTTTTGAAATTTCATCGTTGAGTGTTTTATTGCGAACTTTGAGAGCGAGAATTTTACTTTGCGAATCTTCCAGTTGGCCCTTAAGTGAAGCGATTTCTTTTTCCAAATTTTCAACTTTGACACGATGTTGTAATTCAGTTTTTCGAACATTTGGACGATCCATGGAATGTATACTGTTTGCGCCACCACAACCCCCCACGTAGGTTACACATGATTCAGGAACATCACTGGACGAAAGAAAACCATCGAAGTTTTGTGGTTCTTGCTGTTCGAGGCGTGCCTTAAGCTCTTGCACTTTCTGTTGCAAATGTAAGATCTGTTGAGCCCTACCTCGCCAATTGGAATTTGTGGCATGCGAAGCCAAAGTATTCAAATTGAAATTCTCACCAATTTCCTGTTGTAAACATTTTTGCGCCAATTTGAGTTGATTGTTCAATTCGACATTTTTATTGCGAGTTTCAAAAAGTTTCTGTTGCATTGAAACTAGTTTCGATTGAAGTTCATCGATGGGCGAGGACTGAAAGGGAGAGGAACAAGTTAAAAAATATCAGTTGGTTTTGCCGACAAATGTATACCCTCAGTCAGTGTTCGATTATTAAAATATATTTGATTTCTGTCGTTAACCCTCTATGGAGTAGGTTAGGAAAGAATGGACCAATATTTCCCATTTCATATCGGACCTAAAAATGAGCGTGAGGTACTCAATTTGCAAATAAAAACATTGGCATGGGCAAAATTTCAAGAAAATCGAACATTTATATATTTAATTTTATGCAAAATCATAAATTCCATATTCATCTCAGGTTGAGAGGTGAGGTACAAGAAGGCTAAAATATTTGTATTTGTAAAATTTGAAGAGAGGATTTGGAGGCTTATTTTGATTTCTGTGAGCGTTTTGTTTCTTAAAATCTTGAACTATTTGTGAGGGAGATACCAGAAGAAATAGTCCGATCTCTACAAGCTTTATAACAGATCTTGTGTTGATGGAAATATTGAGATTTGCCAATTCTGAATGGAATCGGATGTTAATATCGCATTTTATGAGCTTCATGGATATTCAAAATGTTGACCCTTTGTGGGGGAGGTACCAGAAGGAATAGACCGATATATCACATCTTCACCACAGATCTTGTGTTGGTGGAAATAATGGGATGTGTTAAATATGAAGAGAATCGGATGCTTATTTCGGACTTTATAATTGTTTTGGTTTCAAAATTTTGACCCTTTGTGGGAGAGGTACCTGAAGGAGTGGTCCAATATATTCCATCTTCACATCACACTTCCATCTAATTTGAAGACAATCCGGCTCTCATATCACATTTTTTAAGAGTTATAATTATTCAAAATTTTGTTCCTTTGGAATGGAACGATATTATCCATATTCGCTACTGACCTGGCACTGATGCAAATGTTAGGATTTGCAAAATTGGAGCAAAATGGGATTATCTTTTCTCTTTCTGTGCAATAAACCATTATTTGAAAATTTTGAACTTTATATATCGACTCCAAATGCCCTGAAACGGATTTTGTCCAAAGAGACTCAGGGTCTAAAACCGTTATTTTGATGAGGCACGTTTTAGCTATATCAGATGATGTATACCCTCTCTAGTTATATGGCTGAGGGTATAATAATTTTACCAACATATTACGAACTTACCCCCTTCTTCACAAAATCTCTATCCTGCTGAGACTTTTCTTCGGCCAGTTTCAAATCCTTTTCCAATTTTTGTATTTGCACTTCTTTGCGATTTAATCGATTTTTCGTCGTTTCCAATTCAGCCCTCAATTGGCGATTTTTCTTCGTCAAATCCAATAACTTCGTACAGGCAATTGATGAATTACATCTGAGTTCGTCAAGCGGCACTGAATTGAGCACATCATTTAAAGAGTTTACAGATTTTCGCAACTCCACAATTTCCGTATTCTTTTCATAGATCATTTTCGACAAAGACTCATTTTGTTCTTCGATTTGTATTAGTTTCTTCTTCAATTTTTTACTTTCGGATTTTTTCTTTTCACCCTGGGCGCTGGAGGATTTTCTCAAACGTTCCAAATCATTTTCGTCTTTGGACTTTTTTGGTCTCATCGGTGCATCGGTACAAACTGCCTTATCGTGGGTCATAATGATATCCATATTTATTTATTGTTGTTTTAATTAAAAAATATATATTTTTTATTTGTTTTTCTGAAATATATTTATTTTTTGAAAAAAATTGATGTATTTGAAACAAATGACAGTTGAGTAAATGTCATTTCAAAAAAAAGAAAACAAAAGTCAAGATACATTTAATAAAGGCCCCCATTTACTTTCAATCTTGCTGTACAGTAACTGAACCCCATCGTATATGTTTGAGCTTGAATCGTGTGTGGTAAGGTCTCCCAACAATTGAATGTAAAAGTTTTTACTACAATAACCATTTTTCTGTCCCAGTACCTAATTCTTTCAGTTTTTTTACATTCTTGCAGTTCGGCAACATACTAAAAGCTAGTATATTCTTGAAAACAGCGAATATATCCTTAAATATTTATTTGGATTCTTTTTTTCACAATAGTGCTCTGTTTCAGAATCGATGTCCTAAAGGGAAAATCGGTTATCTTAGTAAAAACTTTTACATTCTTATAGTTCCATATATCTATATGTTCATTGCGTCGAAAGGGTTTTATCGTTAAAATCAAAACTATTATGATTTTCATTAATTCAATAATACCTACGATGTCATTCTCAATCCTTCTTCGCATAAAAAATCATAATTTTTTGCCAATTTCCGAACATTTATTTTATAAAAATACTCGAGCGTGGGCTTTATACAGTTTCAAATCAAATTTCCTTATAACGACAGTATGAAACATGCGATACGTTATCCACTAATTAAATCGCCCCATAGGTTTTTGACGTTGACATTATAAGCTGTTTGTACAGTACCTAGAGGACTGTTATCAAAAGCTTCACATTGAATCGATTAATCGATGTTAAAAATCCGTTTATCTAGAGATCTTGATAATTCCACGCATAACATCAACAACTATTGCCTTTTAAGTTTTAAAACTAGAAAAACATCTCTAAATGGCATAGTGGAGCAGACAAAATATCCTGCAAAAAATATTATATGATTTTTTGTACTCATAGTAGATTAAACGATTAGTCAAAAATCGACCTACACATCCCTAGTTGCCGTAGTTGACGTGTTCATCTGTCAAAAGCGGAATAGAAAAAAATTATCAGAGCCAGCCACACAAAAAAACATCAACACCATGGACGGATTTATGATGGTAAAATACAACTTTTATCGGAATTTTATAAAGAAAAACAAAGTTAATTAATAAAATATTTAACTTTTTCAGGATATTATCAAGGGCATGTGTATTATGGACAACGATGGCAATCGTATCATTGCCAAATATTATGACAAAAACATCTTGTCCACCGTCAAAGAACAGAAAGCCTTCGAAAAGAATCTCTTCAATAAGACACATCGTTCCAATACAGAAATTATAATGTTGGACGGTCTGACGTGTGTCTACAAGAGTAATGTGGATCTATTCTTTTACGTGATGGGCAATGCTTATGAAAATGAACTGATCCTGTTGTCGGTGCTCAATTGTCTGTATGATTCGATCAGTCTGATTCTGAAGAAGAATGTCGAGAAACGTTTGGTATTGGATAATTTGGAAATCATTATGTTGGCATTTGATGAAATTTGTGATGGAGGGTGAGTAAAGTAATAGTCTACAGCGCCTACCAAAGAACGTTGTGAAATTACATTTTGATGGAGTATGTGCAGGTACATGTGTTTTTCGACATCGTCATGGGATTGTAACGCAACAAAACATATGTAAGCCACCCACAATAATCAAATATGTCCTGCAGAATGCATCAATTTGATGTGGTGAAAGCAAGTTGTAAGCATGGAATGTCATTTGGATGCACACTCCCAATAGTAGACATTTTTGTGGAGGTAGTCCAAGCTGTGGGTCTTTACGCTTATAAAGTTTTTTTTCTAAGTAGGATCTTCTACGAGATGACCGGTCGGGACTTAATATTTTTATAAGTGGAAATCCGGATCCGAAAAATACCTTCCATGTAAAACCATTTGTAGGTGAAAGGAGGCTTAACCTTAACTAAAACATTCATGTAAAAGCTGACCAAGCACTTGGAACAGTTCTTATAGACAAATCCTACAAAATTCTCTTCTGAGTACTTAGTACAATTTTGTACTCTACCGGTACTGTAGGTTTCTACGTATGGAAATCCCTAAAACCGACTGGTTGTACAAAACTTGTTAAAACAACAAGGCTATAAATACAAAATTCTCTTCTAAGTGAAACAGCTGAAGGAATCAGTTTGTTCCTACATCATTTTTTATACCATCCACCATGGTATAGTATACCGTATATTAAGTTTGTGAAACCTTTTGTAACACCTCGAATTATACATTTTAGACCCCACAAATTAAATATATTTATGATCAGCAAAAAATTCTACGTCGATTTAGTGACGTCCGTCTGTGTAAATCACTCTAGCATCCGAACGAAATGAAGTATGTTGATAAATTTTACTCAAATGTATAATATATCTGCAGGACTTTTGGTATTGAAAATGGGCTAGGTCCACGTTTTGGTATATCCCACATATAATTGGACCTCCATTTTTCGGTATTTTGGTTATTTTAGTGACATTATTCACCGGTTTTTTTTCAAATTTGGTATTTGAAGTCCGTAATGGGTACTACAGTCCATTTTCACAACCTATCTTGTAATAAATAAAATGGGATGTGCGAAAATTAAAGAGAATCTGATGCATATTTCGCATTTTATTAGCGTTTTTGTTATTCCAATCTTTGACTCTTTGTGGGGAAGGTGTTCAAAGGAGTGGCGCGATATATCCCATCTTCACATCAGATCTTGTTTGGATAGAAATATTGGGATTTGCAAAGGTTGAAAATAATTGGGTTCTTATTTCGCATTTTATGAATGTTTTGGAATGGTCCGCTATACTCCATCCTTATACCAGATATTGTAATGGTAAAAATATTGGGAAATTTTTGAACGTTTGAGATATTCCAAATTTGGACTTACTGGAAGAAGTAGTCCGATCTTGTCATTTCTCGTACCCGATCTTGCAGTAATACAAATATCACGACTTGCAAAGATTGAACAAAATGGGATTATCCGTCCTCTTGCTATGCAGTTAATTATTTTCCATGAAAATTTTGACTTTTTGTGGGGGAGGTACCAGAAGGAGTGGACCGATGTTGCCCACCTCCGAACTCGATCTAAAATTGACCAAAATATTACGATGTACCGAATTTGGACCAAATCGGATGCTCCCTTCGAGAGTTATCGTGCGCACCAGCCAGATTTACGGACCGACCGATGGACGGAGATCGTTAGATCGACTCGAAAAATCCTTAAACGGATTTGGTCCAAAGAGACCTAGGGTCTAAAACCGTCGTTTCGATGAGGCACGTTTTGGCCGTATCAAATGATATATACCCTCTCTAGCCATAAACACATCGGTATAAAATGGTTTTCGTGGCTTGGTTGCTTATGGCCGTTTATTGTACTATGTATATAATAAGTTTCACTTACCATTATACATAATAAAACTTTTTGTTTTATTTTTACAGAATTATTTTGGATGCTGATCCCTCATCAGTGGTGAAACGGGTCGATTTGCGCAATGATGATATTCCCATTGCTGAACAAACAGTGGCCCAGGTAACTAGCGTCTTAAACCAACTATTTTGGTAGAATGACTGAAAAAGTCTAAACATTTATTCACACAGTTTATGTACAGTGCAAAATTGTATAAACCATTCTTATGTAGATCATTTTTTTCTATAAAACATGTTAAGCCATTATGATGAATGAATTAACTTTTATTTTTTTTAATTTAAACAACATTTTTAGCTCTTTGGCAAGTAGTATTATTGTTGTAATGGAAAGTATTATTATTCATTAAATATTATTTGTTAATTTTTTTTTGTTTTCCAAATCATTACATTTTGAATTGTATTATTATTTGCTTAGTTAATAAATAAAACAAAAAATCGATTATGTACTTATTTTTATTTAATTAATGTATTTTGCACATTTACTAATTCTGAAATCCTGGTTAAATGCGGATATTAAGTAAAACACATAATTTTGTTACAACTTTCGTTACTTAATTATGAATAATAATCACACCCTTTAGTATCCGCCCTTTACCAACTTACTAACATCCCCGATCAATATATACATATAATTCATAACATCTGCTAACTTGTTGTAAATTTCTAAATATTTCCAGGTGTTTCAGTCAGCTCGTGAACAGTTAAAATGGTCCATACTAAAGTAAAGATAGCAAACTTCACAAAATCACAGCCTTGCAAACCACAATTCTACAGTTTCGTATTTTTACTTAGTTTAAAAACAAACCATTGTGTATTTCTTTTTTTGTTTTTGTGATCCACCCCATACGGATTGGTTCACCCTAAATGACATCAATATATTCGATTTTTTATAAAGCAAATAATAAATGAAAAAAAAAAAAACAAACTCCATATTAAATATTCTTAATTTGTAATATTAAAGTAAATATGTATGTATAGATAATAGCTATTAAATTTTAATAAAAACCAAGAGAAATGCCAAAATTCTCAAATTGTATAAATTATGATGAGTTCATATTTTGTTGGTGAAGATTTGTTGTTTTTTTTTTTTTTTTTTGCCTCAGTGGTATGTGTGTGATTATTATTTTAAATATTCCTACGTGTTAAGAATTTGCATTTTACGAAAAATTAAAAATGACTATAATTATCTGACGTTGAGGATTTTCTATAAAAAATTTTAAATTTAGGTCAAAATTAATTTTGGGCATTACTCTAAATCGTGGATTTTGAGTATTAACATTCAGTTATCGCATTTTCCAACTGAATTGGTCTTTCATTGATATTTTTGGACTTTCTAGGAATATTCGATGTGTGTTTTAAGAGCGGAACAATATTCTGTGGAAAAAATCCTGTAAGCATTTACCAATGCATTAAAAACTTTAACGATTATAAAATACAATACAAAACAATTTTTATTACATTTACATCTTTTGTTAGCATTTAATTGGCGTGCCGTAAATGTGAATAAAAGTACGTTTGTTCTTACATTTTTATAGCTGCACAATAAAAGTTTTATATGTCTAATATGCAAACAAAACTATATTTAGAAATGGTCTACATTGTGATGGTGAAGAATTATTGATAAATAAATTTTATCTACATAAATGGGTACAAATTATCATTTTACACGATTGAATTAAAATATAATGAAACATTTGATATACGCTCAAAATGCAAAATTATGAAATTATCAACATTATTTGCGATGTTGCAGCTATATTTATGCTACACATTATTTATAGTAGGCTCTCAAAGTACGACGTTTAGATTATAATAATTATTTGAGTAAATTGATTGGCTTATAAAACAAATCCGATAACTAAAATTTATATTCTTGGAAATACTTGTGCGTATCGTTTATTTATGGATTATGATTTCTGGTAGCAAAATAATCTCTTAGTGTAGTTCAGACGCAAATAAAAATCTGAAGATTATTATACAAGGATTATCTGAGCTGAAATTTGTTAAATTTGTCATAATCGATTTCCTAAGTCTCGAATTAAGAACAGTCGGCACTACAATCATGGATTTTTAAGAGTTTTCTTAAAAGACTAACTGAACCACAATGGTTTTCTAATGAAAATTTTCAAGAACAATCTGAATCGCAATCATGGATATTATAAAAACCGTTTTCCGAATGAATCACTAACGTGAATGTTTAAAAATATTTTATCATCCATAAAAGTAGATTTTTAGTCAGAGATGGTAAATTTTTTAACTATCGTGATTTTTTTAAGAATATTTTCCCAAAAGCTTTGTAAAAATTCATCACAATCACAAACCAACATTGCAAATTTTCTTAAAACAAGAAAAAAATAGTTAAACTTTTAATACCCTCCACCAGTTAGAAAGTGAGGATGGGGGCTAAAGAAAAACGTTAACCTGTATAGAATGGATATGGGAAAGTATCGTTTTATGGGGCCTATTGGAAAAGGTGGACCTAAGTATACACTATTCTACCACAGGGATAGAAGCTGTTATGAAATCTAGACACCAGATTTTTTAAACTGCATGGAGAGGTACAATTATATGAAAACATTGACCTGTCTGTCTGTCGTGATTACAACAGACAGACAGGATCACAGGGCTAAATCGACTGTATCTGATATCTGGTACAAAATACCATTTTTGTGGAGTGCATATTACGCATGTGAGGGATTTAAATCCCCAAATCGGGTGAAACATATATATGGGAGCTATAACTATATCTTAACCGATTTTCACCAAATTTGATGTACTTACTTTTAGACTGAATTCGGTCGGATGTGCCAAAATTCAGGTCATTTGGACTGATATTGGCCAATTAGTACACAATTAATCGGAATCACCAATTTCAATAGGATTCCTCCTTGGGCTAAAAAAAATGTTGTGTGGCTGTAAGTTCAGCCGGGCCGAACTTTAAATACCCTTAACCATTTGGAATGAATTTGGAAATTTTCAAAAAACAATAAAATAAAATCGGTTAAAAATATGACTACGTTATATTAGGGTCTATTAGGCCATTACAAATATCAAATTTGAAATAATTTCGGTGAATAATGTCGCTAATATTATCGAAATACCGAATATCATGAGGTGCTGTTATATGAGGGCTATACGAAGACGTGGACTTGCACAGACAATTACCGAAAATAGGGAGGTCCCCCTATAATGGTACCTCCCTATTTTCGGTATTTTAGTGATTTAAGCGACATTACTCACCGGAAATGCTTCAAATTTGGTATTTGAGATTCGTAATGGATGGCCCATTTCCAATACCAGACACAATATGAATTTGAGTAAAATTATATACTGCATTTCGTTCGAAAACTAGAGTGATTTCTACAGACGGATGGAAATAGCTAAATCAACATAGAATTTTATGCTGACCCAGAATATAAATGGGAATGGGCCAAAATATCGCAGAGCAACATTAAGGCAGCGTGTGACAGTTTCATTGGCCGTTTGAAGGTCATAATTCGTGCCAAAGGTGACCAATTTGAACATATCTAAACTTATTCTAAAATTTGATGCTATTTCCGACATTTTTGCTTTCATTCAACAAAATTAAAAAAAAAATGTAAAAAATATGGCGTCTGACTTTGTTGCAGTTTTTTATATCTCACCCTGTATACACTTTGTGGGTTCTAAAATGTATATTTCGAGGTGTTACAAACGGAATGACAAACTTAATATACCCTCCATACTATGGTGAAGGGTATTTAAAGTTATCGAACAACACTCACAAGAGTCCAGAGAGAAACAGCTGTTTTCCAAAATTAATGCGTTACATATTTAAATTGCTGAAGAATCGGATCGAAATTTTAATTTGTGTAGTAAACTGTTTGTTTCTAATGGTATAATCATGGTAGAATTAAGAATATATATGTTTACATTTTTTTTAATTATTCAATTGACAAAACCTCATTGTCAAATTTATATTTATAAATCCATTGTATACACAGAAACTGGAGATAGGAACTTTTTTATTGTGTGAAATTTGACAAACAGCTAATTTGTATCAGATACTGAAAAATACTTAATGTGAAATAATCTCTCTTAAGAATTCGCAAACTCGGCGACACAACTTTTAAATCTGCCCTCTGCACCTGCTCTCACTTACTGTAGAAACTATTACAAATTATTGGGTTGTCATGTACACTATATGATACATGTTATTAATTGGAGAAACGCTCCCGTTTTGGAGGGTAGGCACAATGCATTTAAAAAAAAAAAAAAAAACATCATCTGCTTGAAAAGGAACTTTGTCCAACGCCTATAGGCGCTTAGATTTGACTCCTTGTTAAAATGTCTTCTATAATCTGGTCAAATGTGATCATAAATTGAATTCATGATCGATTAGCTGGGTGCAATAAAAAAATTTCAACCGTCAATAATTCATTTTATGATTGTTTTCCAGTTCGCATTTTCGGCGAAACTCAACACACCCAAATATTTGGTATTTTCGCAAACAACAAACAAACAAGTCTTCCCTCAAGTTGCCAAGTTAGTTGCGATGTCTAGCTGCAGACACATACCCCAATAGATTAAATGTTGAGGCAAATAAATAGTAAAAAATCTGATTTGAATAGGAGTCAAAACTTTCCACTATTGAAAAAAAAACCTCGCCCAACTATGGAGGCGACAAAAAGAAAAAAACAAAACAAAATAATTTATAAAAGTTATTATGTTCACACAAATGTCTATACAATTGCGATTACAAATATTTAGGGGAATACTCTAAATCATTTGGAATACACGTGCTTTTGGTTTTTGATCTGCTGGCAGAAAGTCATTCATATATAGGTAGGTAGGTAGATAGGTATTTTTGATAAATTAATTGTTTGCAGCAAGTTGTGCAATTTGTTATAGAGTTTTATTTGTTTATCAAAGAGAGTAGTAACGAGAGCTAATTGAGGGATATGTCTTGGAATTTCTGTAGGTCTGAAAATAAGTAATCCGATTCCCTAATACCACAATATCTCTGACAAATGTACAGGGTGAGATGAAAAAACTGCAACCAACTTCAGACTGCTGTCATTTCTAAGCCACTCGTCCGACAGCTGTTAAAATTATTTCTGTGACAGCTCATTATATTGTTTAAAAGCGTACAAAAGCATTTCGGTGAGAATTTTCCAAAAAAAAGTTATTCGTAATGGAGTTCAAGCGTGATTGTGTGATTTCTTTATATTTGGCTGGAAAACCACAAGTGACGTTAAGGGAGTGAACGGAAGAAAACAGTAACATCAGCAGAAATGGTTCGAAAAGTAAAGAAGCGACTTGATCCAAACCCGCGTCGCAGTGGCCGGTATTCCATTCGGTAAATACTGAAAAATGAGCTCGGGGTAAAGCCATTGAAATTCCAAAAAGTGCAAAAACTTACACCGCAACAGAAAGAAAATAGACCCAAAAGAGCTAAAGAGATGCTTCGCTTGGTCGAAAGTGGTGAACTGCCGAATTTGGTTTTCTTTCTCTCCGATGAGAAAATATTCGTTGTACAGCAGATTGTAAACAAACAAAATGATCGTGTTTACTTGCCAAAGATGTCAAGCGCCGGACATGGTGATGGTGTGGGCCGCCATAACAGCCGTTGGTCGCTCTCCGCTCGTATTAATCGACAGTGGCATCAGAATAAATGCCAAATATTATCGCGAAAATATTCTGGAGGGTGTATTAAAGCCTTGGGTACGCAAACACCGCAAATACCAAAGTGTCGATCACCTCAAGCAAGCGCTTCTCCGGGAATGGGCCAAAATACCGCAGAGTAACATTGGGGCAGCGTGTGACGATTTCATTTGCCGTTTGAAGGTCATTATTCGTGCCAAAGGTGACCAATTCGAACCAATCTATTTCCGATCTATTTTTTCTTTCATTCAATAAAATTAAACAAGTTCAAAAACAGTAAGT